AAGATGAGCGCATAGCTAACAATGGGCAGTGTCATTCTCGGATCATTTTCCAACTACCTAGTGACCAAGAGCTCGGTTCCTGTCATGGTGGCGAGGAAGCGGCTCCGTAAGCAGGGCAAATACAAGGGCGTGAAGCCGGTCAATATTCTCAGCAACCCTGCAGCGAAAAGTCTATCAAATGCTAGGATCGATTAGAGGGCCTGTTAAAAGGCCATGAGCCAGCGGAGTTCTCAGGTTGAGGCAACAGGTTGGGGATAGACGAGATGATGCACATGCATGATAGGACAGGTGTTGTGCGAGGTGTGGTTCTCTTTTCAGCATTATGCGAGCTGCACATCAACGGGCTTTGACTTGGAGTACGATTCTTTTGGGTTGAGGGTGAAAGGACTTGATGTTGGTGGTTGAGTGGATGAGTTTCTGGGTAGCGTGGTCACTCACTAGAATTCAACGAAAGGATGGAGTTTTTAGTATGGATGGATGGACAGACGACTAGGTACTAGGTATTACGACTATGACTATGACAACGACTATGGCTTTGGCTCTGGCTACTGGTACTGTACTGTACATGTATACGTGTATGCAGGTGCAACATGGCGGGGACCAGGGCACATTGGTTGTTTCAAGTTTAATGCCGTGGCGGCTTGATTTGATAGTGAGGGATGAATGAGATGGCATCAAGAAGAGCTACGACTGCATGGCGCTGGATTCGCCTGTCTCAGGTTGCATCACGTGCCTCGTTTCTCGGACGCACGTCTACCTTATTTCGACGACCTGCGCTTATGACTTGAGATGGGGTTCATGGACGGAAGGATTTGTGAGCAACCTAGACTGAATGAATGGGGAATCGATAGAGAGTGACCTGTACTGTACAGTAGAGGCCACATTGCTGCGGGCAGGGTTTTGCCACAGGGCATCTGAGGCGTCTCATTGGTCCCCGTCCCCATCTCCCAGGCTCAAGGCCTATTGCGGCCACTGCTACGGCCAGCCTGACTCGCTTGCGGCTTTGACCTCGCCTCGCCTGGACCACCGCGAGGCTGAAACCAAGACCATGAAACCGCACCCTCACGACAACAACTTGCTGCATCTCCTGGACCTCATGCGATTGATCAATCTGTCCCCTTTGAGTCGCCAGCATGAGACTCCTCAATACCAGGACCTTGCAGCTTGAGACGTTTGACGCCGGCCCTGAAAAGTACGCCATCCTGTCGCATACGTGGGGTAGCGACGAGGTACTGTTCGACGACATCCAGAGCCAGGCGCGCATGAACGAGATTCGCCAGAAGAATGGCCAAGGATACCGCAAGATCTCTCAAGCCTGCGAGAAGGCTCTCGACCGTGGCTATGACCACATCTGGATCGACACATGCTGCATCGACAAGTCCAGCAGCGCTGAGCTCTCAGAGGCCCTCAACTCCATGTTTCGCTGGTACAAGGAGGCTTCACTGTGCTTTGCCTACCTCTCGGACGTTTCTCCTCAACCCTCAGGGGAGATCGCGTCCCTCAAACAGAGCCGCTGGTTCACACGCGGCTGGACACTCCAGGAGCTGCTGGCCCCAGACGAGGTTGAGTTTCTCGACCAGAACTGGTCACCTGTTGGCGAGAGACATTCTCTGGCCGCAACAATCAGCGAGATCACAGGAATCGAGGAGTCATTTCTATTACAACCGGACTCAAAGAAGGATCGCAAAATAACGACATTACTGCAGCGCGAAAACGTGGCCACAAGGATGGGCTGGATGGCGCATAGGGAGACCACCAGACCCGAGGACATGGCGTATTCACTGATGGGCATCTTTGGCATAAACATGCCTATTCTGTATGGAGAAGGCAACAAGGCTTTTCTCCGGCTGCAGGAAGAGGTACTCAAGAAGTCGGGCGACCAGTCCATCCTGGTGTGGAGGTGGCCCCTGTCGCAGAAGCCAGAGGAGACGCTGCACCGGATGCACTTTTTGGCAGATAGCCCGGCCAACTTCAACCTCCGCACGTACGCAGGACAGGAGGACTCGGAGCGCTTTGGAATAAGACTGACGGATCAAGGGCTCGTGCTGCGCATCTGGAAGTGCCCGTGCAAGGTGACGCGATGGAACTGGAACAAGAAGGAGCTCAGAGACGTCGGTGAGCGGTGGTTGGCCGTCCTCGACTGCAGTTTATCGCCCGATACACTGTCGCGGCCGGCCATTGTGCTGCGTGAGAGCCCGTACGCTGAAAACGTCTATCGGAGAGACCCCATGAGTGTCATCATGGTGATAGAGCACGACCGTAAAAAGTCGGGGTATCTGGATACTGGAGATTGTAGGCAGCTGTCCCAGATGCGTCCCCGGTTAATGATAGTGATACTGACTTTTTTCGGCAGTAATACATTCCATAGAGTACAAGCCCGAGTTCAAGATGGAGACGATTCTACTCGAGTCAGAGTCAGCAGAGAAAGAGCTTCGCCTTAGAGGAAGCTTCCCGTTCAAGGTCAACCTGATGCTCAAGGACCGTGAGCTCAAGCAACGAGCGGCGTACACGGGGTCCCAACGATACGTGGTGTCTGGAGAGTTGGCAGAGAAGCCGACGCAGAACCCTATATACGGAGTCTTGTTCTTTGGTGATGATGATACTGGCACGGAGCTGGTGGTGTGGTGGGGCTTGATAGAGGAGGGGACGGCCATGTACCACGTACACAGCCGGAACAATGGACCCCGACTCTGGAGCAATAGCATCCCCGTGTGCTTTGCGCAGTCGTGGAAGAACCTCACGGGGTTGGAAGAGTTTGACGCAAGCCTGGCCGAGTCGCTGGCGGTCAACATGTTGTGCGAGGAGTTCCCGCTGCCGTGGTCAGGGACGGAGCGTCCCTCGGTGGTGGAGGTGGAGGACGGGCTGAACCTGCAGAGCGCGCTCAACGACAGCAAGCCGATGGCGGCGGAGACGGTCATTGAGCTTTTTACGCAGTGCGCGCAGCCCGTGATAGAGTGCATCGGCTGGGGCATGCGGTTAAAGGCGTCGATGCGAAGCGTTGACTTCTTGGGGAGGATGTGCTGCGAGATGGATATCGAGGAGAAGAATCCAAACGTCGAGGTGATGTGATCCATGCGGATGTGATGCTGGCATTACACGGAGTTGGGGGTGTTGTTTGCCTACTTATTTTAGACGACTTGATTTCTGGATATCATGTTGCTTGTCGTTTTTTGTACATGCATTGGAGGGAGGGTGTGGCAAGCATGAGATGGAATGGAATGGGATGTCGTGGATGCAGGAGGTGGGAGTCAAATTTGGCTGTTTGAAAAGCCGAGCACAAAAATGTTAATCATGTAGCGATTCAAAGCATCAAAGCCGAAACTCTCAGGCTAAATCGACTACAGAAAGAAATCACGATATTTTACAAGTTTCTACAATCATTGTTGCTGCAGAATGCACTGATGTTTGGATGAATGAGTGAATGCTGGGACGGGGCGAGCCGGCTCGGGGCCGGGATAAGCCCCACTCTTTTTCAACAGAGGGGCCCCCGCCACCGCTTGAGGAGGCGACGCCAGCGTATCAACGGGTCGATAAGAGCACGAAACAAGGAGAACAACAAAAAACAATAACGAGAGACACGGGTTCGCGGGTGCCTAAAAATATAAAAAGCGCATCCTTTTCGTGGAATCTTCGCGCGTCCATCGCGGTATTCACCATGGCCATTTCCCACGGTGAATCACACACATCTTACGGAAACCCCCTCCCCCTCCCCCTCCCCCTCATTCTTCCATGACAACGAACTGTAAACAAATGCAGCTCATGTGACCAAGAGATGCCTTGCGCGTCAGGCCACTCCCACTCAAAAGACGTGTCGCGTAAAGTGGTCCCCTCTGAAATGAGTTTAGCGCGGGGTCGCTGAAACGGTCTCGTTCTGCACGGTTGGCGGGGCATGATTGGCTGTGACGCAGTCCGTAGCAAGGACCCCAACCTCTTTGATTTCGGGGAGAGCAAGTGCGTGCTGTTGCTGCTAGGGAAGGAGAGGGAGGGACGGAAGGGAGGTTTATCGGCTGTTGAGAAAAGCCGGGCCATGGATGATGAATGAGTGAGCATTTCCCTTTGGCTTGGTCTATGTTTCATCTTCTTCCCTCCTCTTTCCTTTCTCGACCTTTCCCTCCCTCCTCTTTTACCATCTTGAGCTGCCGGTCAAGTTGACGGGTCTCTACTTGCATCAGATCTGCCTTGCTTGACCTACTTCCCCGACCTGCTTACCTAGGGCTTCGCATCGCATTGTAATCTTACATGTCTATGCAAGCCCTGCCTCTCTACTCTAGCCCAGCAACAGACGTCCATCCAATCCATTCCGTTCCAATCATCCATCCAACCTTGCATTGCATAGTTGCCAACCTTCTTTCTAAGCCTCTATTTGTTCTCTACCTCTTCAACTATTACCCCAAAATCAGTCAATCAACCCCCAAAAGCACAAGAGTCTACAAGCAGAGACAGCTTAAACGTTGAGAAAGAAGGCCATCACTTCTGAACACACACAATCAAGTCAATCAATCAACACATCATCTCCATGACTCCATTCCTGACGGTAAACAACAACGTCTCGCTCGTCAGCATCACCATCGCCCCAAGCACATACTTCATCACCGTCCTTCTGCTCCTCATCTGTGCCGTCATCTACATCCCCCGCCTCGTCGCCTTTCGCTTCCCCAACCTTGGCATACCCTTGCCGTCGTTGTCGTCGCTGGTTCAGCCTCTGTTTGCCGAGCCTCCGAGCAACACTCTGCAGACAGTCGGAGGCGAGAAGCCTCTACCGGAACCCCCCTTTGCGAGGAGCCAACTTGTGCTCGAGGACCAGCAGCAGCTTGTCATCTCTGGCCAGGATATAGTCCTCGCTCAGCGCCGTCACCAGCTTCAGCTGCAGCTCCAGCTGCAGCAAGAGCAGGACCTCCTTCTAGAGAAGCACCGGCAGAAACAGATTCAGGAGATAGAGTATCACCGTCGTCGTGAGTCACGCCGTCCCCGAGACGACGACTCGCCCAAGCGCAGCAGCCATGACGGATCACCTAGAAAATCTCGACGCATCACTACGGGACTTCGATCTCCCAGCAAGCACACTGTCGCCCCGCCACTCAGTCCTCCGCAGCGAGGCGGCGACGGAAGAGGACCTCGAGGATTCGGAGGTCGCGTCCGCCGGTGGATACTCACCTCCAGCGTGGCGGAGACTCGGCAACGGAGACCGGAGTAGCGGCTTCTGGAGGGGACCTCATGACTTCCTAGCCGCTGGTACGCAACGTGGCCTGAGCACTCTGAGAGAAAGTTCTCCAGAGTTTGATGATGATAGTGAGGATGAGATGGTCCTAGAGAGGGCCATCAGGACAAAGTTGCCCAAGGGAAGTCAGAGCCCGGACAAGGGCCGGAGCCCAAGTCCCGAGAGGCATAATGATAGGACGATTCAGGTCAAGGCTGAAGATAGGGAAACTCCCGCAAGGGAGTTGGCTCTACAACACTCACCACCGGATAATTGTGAGTGGGCATGGCAGCCTCAGCTCTCACCCCCTCTCTGACATGGAACAGACATTCGCTTCGCCGTCCGCGCTGAAGTACAACACCGCACTGAGCCTATCGAGGCTGCCATCAACTTTATCCGTGATCGCTACAAGACCTTGACACGGACATGGTCCACCACCTTTACCAGTGTCCTCATCGCCTTCTTCTCTCTCTCCCTTTTCAAGTCTCTGCTCCAGCCCGCCTCGCCGCGGCCTGTGGGCGATCTCGTCAAAGTTGCAGGGCTCGCCCGCTCCTTTGAGCCTCTAATCTATTACTCAGAGCACGCCGTATCCCAGGTTCATGATCTACAAGCCACGAGTGTCGCTGTATGGGATCTTGGCGAGAGCGTGCGCACAAGCGACATGCGCGATGCCAACAGCATTGTGTCTGACCTGGATGCTCTCAGTGAGACCATGAAGACGTTGGCCATTGAAATGACCAAGTTTTTCGCTAGAGTCGATGGTGATATCGATGGGTAAGTTGCTGCACACATATACAAACCCTCAAAATCACAATCTCACCCCTTGTTAGCATCCTCAACGTTATGGACTGGGCAAAGATGCACCTCAACCGCCTCAACTCGTCTCCCTCCCCTTCAACTCTCTCCTCCGCCTACGACAACATCCACAACATCCTCTCCCAAGCCCACGTCCTCGAAGACGGTGCCGGCTCACCAACACCACTCGGCCGCCTCACCACCCACATCTTTGGCCTCTCCAACCCGCAGCGAGAGCAGCGCATGGTACAGCTCCTCTTCACCGAGTTTATCGCCGTTCTCGAGGATTCGATTCAGGCCGAACTACAACATAGCGTAACCCTCTTCGCCCTGTTTGAGGCCGTCGACTTTCACTTTCTCAACCTTGCCCGCACCGTCGTACGCGAGTCCTCAGCCCAGGAGGAGCTCCACGCCGACATGCTCTCCAGCCTCTGGACACGCCTTCTAGGCACCCGTGCCGCCGAGCTCCGCAAGTTTGAACAGAACCGTCAGTTATTGCGCAATGTCCGCGAGAAGACGGTCCGCAACAAGGGCATTCTCGTCGAGCACAATGGCAAACTCCTGACCCTCAAAGCCTCCCTCGAGACCCTCCGCAGCAAGCTCGTATCTCCTCTCGTCCGCGGCGTCAACTCGACCACTCTCACGCTCGAGGACCAGATCCAAGGCCTAAGCGACGTGAGCGAGTACCTAGGCGAGGTCAGGAAGCAGCAGAAGGGCAAGGTCATGGAGACGCTCTTTGGCAGCGTTCCTGGCAAGAAGTACATGATTGAAGAAAGGCCTGACACAGTCGTGGTAAATACCTTGTAAGGTGCGTTGCATTGTGTGGATTGGAGTACAACAACAACAACAACATTGGTTGGCGAATTGGTTTATCGCATGCAAAAAGGATAAGGTCACCACCACCGGTCAGGCAGGCAGGACAAGGTCATTTGCTTACTACTGGTCAAGCGAGGTCGGTTGGAAACGAAACAGTTTCATGTTCACTCTGGAATAGGCGTTTGGTTGCACTATTGGAGTAGGTAGGTAGGTACACACACATTCTCCTTGGTGTTTGCATGCATGTATGTACATGGGTATTTACACCTTCAGGAATAGCCCTAGTCTATGAATACATTTTAGTTTACAGTCACACAACTGTTTATCGTCTTGTATATCAGTAACATGAACGTGTCGGTTACATGAACTCGTAAACATGTCCATCGTTGCTCGACTTTATACGTAGACTCAGGGCACACTCACAATATTGCTGGTCAACCTCTACTCATCAGTCACACCACATCACATCGCATCGCATTCATACACCCTCAAAGTAACAAGACATTTCTTTCATTAGAAACCCTATCCGCATAAAACCTCTGCGTTGATCATGCCTGCAAACGAGCACCATCGGTGGGGGGTATAGGTCAACAGGCAGAGTATCAGAAAACCGTCAACGCCGTCCTGGTGGGTTCTCCCGACAGAGCGCCGCCGCCTTTGCCTTGCCATGCCATGAGCAGGCAAGCAATCGGCAGTTCGCCTCGAGAGCCAGCCACCTCAGAGTCCCCAAACTTTTGAGTTTCCCTTCCTGAGAAGAAATAGCAACCAAGTCTATCTGTACATAATGCGCCCCCTCAAATTGGGTAACACAAGGTCGTAAAGCATGTTGTTTGTTGCCTGATCGTTCATAAATTGCCTCGTCCAGGCATACGTCGTTCCAGTTGAGGGGGTTGCCCAGTCAGATAACCATGACAAAGGAAATGATAGAAGCCAGAGGCGTGGGTGAAAAGGTAGGTAGGTCCAGGCTTAAGCCTTGGTCTCCTCCTCCTTCTTGGCCTCACTGCCCTCAGCGCCGCCCTGGGCCTTGACGTACTCGTCGTAGACGGCGAGAGCCTCGTCGACCTTGGCCTTCAGCGAAGAGTCATCCTCAATACTATCATCTGTTAGTAACGTGCGTAAAAATCTCAAGAATGACTTGACTTACAGGTTGACAAGCTCCGAGTTGTCCATCTCCAGGAGCATACCGGTGATCTTGCCGGCGAGTTCCGAGTTGATGGCCTGGATCTTGGGGAAGATCAGCTCACCCAGAATCTGCTTCTGCTGAGCAGGTTGAGCGGCCTGGAGCTGCTGCTGGAGCACGCTAGCGGGGTTGGCGCCCTCGGCACCACGGCCAGCCTGAGCCTGGGGACCGTTTCCGTTGCGGCCGGCGTTGGGGCCACCACGACCAGCACCCTGCTGGCGGTTGTTGGGAGGGAAGCCAGGCATGGCACCGCCCATGGGAGGAGCACCGGGCAAACCCTGAGGGCCACCACGGCCACCCTGAGGAGCACCGCGACCACCAGAGAGAGCGGCCTGCTGAGCCTGCTGCATGGCAGCCATGAACTGAGGAGTACCGGGCTGACCGTACTGAGGAGGGAACTGGCCGGGCATGCCGTACATGTTGGGGGGGATCTGCTGAGGAACACCTCCGCGACCGCCCTGCTGAGGGTAGCCGGGGAACTGACCGGGACGGCCTCCCTGGACACCGGGCATTCCCATGCCGGGCTGGGGGAAGGGCATGCCGCGGCCGCCCTGGGGGATGAATCCGGGCTGTTGGCCAGGAGCAAAGTAGACAGGGGGCTGCATGTACTGCTGGGGCATGCCAGCGGCGGCGGCGGCCTGCTGCATGCGAAGCTGGTTGCGAGCCTGGATACTAGCCTCAAGCTGGCTCTTGCGAACATCCTTGCGCTGGGCCAGAGCGACGTAGAGGGGCTTGTTGCTGACCATGCGCTGGTTCATCTCAGCGACAGCCTTGGTGGCATCGTCAGGGTTGCTGAAGCAGACGAAACCGAAGCCCTTGCTCTTACCGAGCTTCTTGTCAGACTTCTTCTCAGCCTTCTTCTCAGCGCCCTCCTCACCCTCCTTGGTCTCCTCTGGCTTGTTCTCCTTGTCCTTGTCCTCCTGCTCCTCCTTCTTCTCCTCAGCAGGCTTCTCGTCCTCGTTCTCGACAGGAGTGTCGCGCATCACCTTGGCCGAGGTGATGGGGCCGAACTCGGAGAACATCTGACGGAGCTTATCGTCGTCGACATCATCATCGAGGTTCTTGATGTACAGGTTGACACCCTGGTACTTGTTGGCCTTCTCCAGGCGAGCAGCCTCATAAGACTTGCGCAGCTCCTCCTCGCGCTCGTGCTTCTTCTGGGCGCGGCCAACGTACAGGTCCTGGCCACGGAAGTCCTTGCCGTTGAGCTCATCAACAGCCTTGGCGGCGCTCTCGTGGGTGGTGAAGTTGACAAAGCCGAAACCGCGGCTCTTGCCCTCCTGATCACGGGCCAGAGAAGAGGAAGTGACATCACCGTACTGCTCGAACAGCTGTCGGAAGTCATCCTCGGTGGCCTCTGGGCTGATGTTCTTGACGTAGACATTGGTGAAGTTGGCCTTCATCTCCTCGAACTTGCTCTGGCGGTCCTTCTTGGGAATGTGGTGGCCGACATAGACCTTCTTCTCGTTGAGAAGCATGCCGTTGACGTGCTTGATAGCCTGAGCAGCAGCCTCATCTGTCTCGTAGTGAACGAAACCATAGCCCTTGGAGTTGCCGTTCTCGTCCTGGGCGACCTTGCAGCTCAGAATGTTGCCAAAGGCGGCAAAGGTGTCGTGAAGAGCCTTGTTGTCAATAGCGACATCGAGGTTCTTGATGAACACGTTACCCTGGCCAGTCTTGCGCAGAGCAGGGTCGCGCTGAGACCACATGATTCGGCAGGGTCGGCCCTTGATGATGGTGTAGTTGAGCTCCTCGAGAGCCTTCTCGCCGTCGGCAGTCGAGTTGTAGTTGACATAGGCATAGCCGAGGGAGCGGCGGGTGACGGCATCACGGCAAACACGAATGGAGGCGACAGCACCGATCTGAGAGAAGAGCTCGAAGAGCATGGCCTCGGTGACGGCGGGGTCGAGCTCGCCGACGTACAGAGAGGCCGAGTTCTGGGGGTGGGGAGCAGCCGAGCTGGGAGTGGGAGCGGCACCATCGTCGGCGGCGCCAGCGACAGCAGTGTCGATGGCAGGGGCCTTGGCATCACCGCTGCCGTTGAGGGAGGTGTTGCTGAGGTCGTTGGCAAGCTGATCAACAGCGCCGGGAGCAGCGTTGGAGGCCATTGTTGAAGTCGGGATCTGAGGTTTGGTATGAACCTGCAATGCGCAGCAGAGTCAGCGATGGGTGAAGCGCCAAAGAGAGGAGCGAATGGAGTAGAGAGGGGAGACAGGAAAAAATGAAGAAAAAGTTGACGAGCAGGAGGGGGAGGGGGGAATGAGGGTCCAAACGCACCTGTTTAAAGAGCCGACAGCGGGTCAAGTTCGCGTGGTACTCGACCTTAGCGAACAAAGGGACGGGGCAACGAACAAAGCGATGCGACCGCGACAAATGTCTTGAGGATTTGAGAAGGGAGAAGCCAACTCAAAGGGATGATGCCGTCGGGAAGAAGAGTCGCTCAGGCGGTGTCGCGAGAGAGACAAAGAGAGTGAGAGAGGTGAGGGGTGGGTTTGGTGGTGGGTTGTGTTTTTTGGGGGTTTTTTCAAGTTTTTTTTTGTGTTTTTTTTCCGGACGGAAATGAAGTGAGCAGAAACAGAGAACTAGTACGAAGACCGTACCTCTGGACTGACTCGACTTTATGGGTTTTGGGGGTTGAGTTTGATAAGGTTGGTGTTGCGGTTGAGGAGGGAAGAGGGAGAAATTTCGTCGGTGGTGATGGATATTTTTTTGCTCGTACCTACCGCCGTCGCACTTCCCAAACCTAAGGCTAAGGTAATATGATGTACGTACTAATTTGGCATCCACTGCTGTGGAAGGTGGGTGGAGGGGGAGGATTGGTGGAGTGTACCTGCCACCCAACGCCGCCTGTCTCCCCCTCTCTGGTACCCTCTGGGTGTCAACCTTCCAGACTCGCACCTGCCAGAAGGGTGGTAGCGGTATTTACCCGCTGATCGTGATAAACGGCGTGGTAGTGAGGCGGGCCATCACTAACACTTTTCGCCTAGCGGCGGCGTTATTTGGCGTTAGGAGGCGGGGGCACGTGCCCTACTCGCACCATCTCGCCAGTGGCCAAGGTACATGCGGCGCCTCCGGTGGGAGAGGGCAAACCGACGTTGAAATTTTCTGTCAAGCACACCTCTCAGCGACCACGCCATGGTGCATTGAAGCTAATAAACGGGCCCATGCTGTTTTTTTTGTCGGTTCGCCTCGACTCAAACAGGCAGAACGGTGCGAGGAAAACAAGGACGACGGAAACGTTGAGTTTGCGATTGCGACGTTCGTCTTTGCTTTGCTTTGCAGTTGCGCTTGCACCGTGTCTCATCAAAGGGATGACAACTGTACAAAGGGAAGGGGACTCTTGGCCCATCTGTCTGTCTTGTCTTGTCTTGTCTTGTCTTGTCTTGTCTCGTCTCTGCTGGGGCCCCGAAAGAAAAAGCAACGTCGCATGTGACGGAGGCACTTAGAAGAGTGCCATGGGTCGCTTGGTATCTTCACCGCTATGTCCACCGCCAAAGATACTTGGTGCTTCAGTCGGAGAATTCAAGCTCCCCAACAACTGTGGTCGACTGTTCGGGATGGCGATCCTTTGCTACAGTGTTGAATGGCACAGTTCCAGGCCAATCATGGCTTTTCTCGCGGTTTCGCGCATTAACTAGGGGATAGTCAAGGAGTTATCGGCAGTTCATGAGTCGCATGACAAAGGAAGGACATGGGGCTTCTAATCCTTCAAGCGAGTGAGTATCCGTATCCGTACTTCAAGTTCGTACTGTTGCTAGATAAGGAGTCGATAGCTAGATTCCAGTTGACTCCAAATTCAAACATTGGACGAGGTTAGAGAAGTTTATCGCAGGTCAAAAGCGAGGCCGTTAACCGTTTTGTAAACTTGGACGCATATCAGTGAATTGATTCCAATGTCCTGGACGGACGGACGTTGGTGACATTGACCAATAAGTGAGCCTTATCGCACTCGCTCTCTCAACCACCTGTCAGAGCATGGCCTGAAACCAAAGAAGGCAAGTGAATTCTACTTGAATAACATCGCTTTTGCTAAATCAGCACTTTAAATCGTCCTGGTTGGCGCAACCAGGTGGTCTTCTTCCTGGCCTGTCCCGTCCGCATTTGCGTTCTGCGCAGCTGCTCTTGTTGGTGTCCACGCAAGGTCCAAGTCCCGCCCCTGGTTCTAGGCTGCTCTGCTTATCTTATCAGAGAGCTAGCCCCCCAGGATGGTGACCTCACCTCTCCAATTCCCCACTGCCATCTCCAAACGCCGAAGGCGGCACGCACCCGTCGCTGACTGAGCCTAGAAGCTGAATCTTCTAGAAGGAGCATCACGATCGTATCGATACGCCCGACGACAGCGGGTGACCATGTTTCGCTCGCACGACTGACTCTGATACCTCTACAACCGAAACCCATCATCGTCCTGCCCCCTCCTCGTGCCGCTCGCCGCAGCCATGTTTTCCACGTTTACGGGCAATTCGAGACGCCCTCGAAACGTCAACCTCAGCGGCTCCACGGGCAACCCCTTTGCCAACACTTCATGGAGTCCATCCGCCGTCTCCAACGCCAGTAAGACAGTCTCGAACGCACAGGCCGAACGCGAGAAACGACAAGTTGAGCGTCAAAAGATCAAGTCGGCCGTGAAGATCCAGCGGGTCTGGAGGGGTCACAGAACAAGGGCAGCGTTGCGTGAATCTCAGCGAGCTGCATTTGATAAGATCTACACCTCGGATGCTGCTGGCAGCCCTGAAGACAGACTTCCTCGGGCTTTTCCTCTACTCCTCCTCGTTTTCTCACCACGACGAGATGACGACATTCGACGAGCAATCCGTTATGCACGTGATACCGAATCTGTCCCTCTTGAAGCGATTGTCCCATCCAGAACCCATCCAGCACGCCTAGAACGACTTGTTCGACTTCTTGTCGAGGCACTAGACACGTCCATTTCGGCAGGGTATGTGCATAGCAGCTGGAGCTTGGCATCATGTGAAAACCATCTAACCACGTCGTACAGACAGCTATCGGAAGATGCACAACTTCTTGGCAAGCTCGCGATACGAATAATAGCCAGTTCTCCGAACCTGGTTCTCCCCTCGGTCGGTAGATACTACACGGTGATCGCGAAAATATGTCAGGCCCAACAGTTGCCTGGCGAGTGGCCAGATATTGTGTTACAAGCTCTATCTGCACCACTAGGAGTTGATTCTGCAAGTGGTATGTTGCACCAGGTTATTGTGAAGGAATGTAATACTAACTCATTGGGTAGCATCGAGAGTCTACCATGCATACGCTTTTTCTTTCCTCACGAGCAGCAACCTGTACTTTTTCGAGACCAACATTGCTGTCTTGTCCAAGAATATCTCTCTCCCCGATTTGTCAAGGGCCATAATAGAAGGACAGCCTTCGGTTTCGAATGCCCAAAATTCAGAAGATGCTCTCCTCTGGCAGTTGGCTCACTTCATCGACTTGGGTCGATCCAGCGCCAATAACACCACGGGCTCTGCCATTCTAGAAACTCTGTACACTCAACTGGCTGCCCTCTCTTCCGCTATCAGCGTTCGGTTGTCAACAAAGTCACCAAATGAAGGGTTGAGTGACGAAGACGCCGCAGACGAGCATCTCGTACTGGATCCGTATATCGCGACCAAGTTGACATCCTTGGTGGAGAGCAATGGCATCTCACAAACACTACGGGACTTTTCTGTCAACCTAGCAGGATCTTCACATCACGAGTTTCAGGGTGTAAGCCTCTTAGCAGGTTACATATTAACCCTGCTTCAATGCTTTCCGGCCAGCAGCGACGACATTCGAATGCGTCTGTTTCTCGAGGAGATTCCTACATCCTCTGGTGATGTCCCAACAGTCAAGTTTCTGTGGGGTATCATGAGAAAGACTTCGGTGTTCAATAAACTAATGACAGGATCAGAACAGCCTATCGACGTGCTACGTAGGTATTTGGGTGTGACGCCGAGTACATCAGGCGCTTCGAGCAGTTCAGCCGAGGAGCAGGACTGGCGGATTATCCTTTTGTTCCTTGAGTTGTATATCTTTATCCTGCGACTAAGCGACGATGAAGACTTCTTCAGCGGGATTTATCCACAGCTTCTGCAGAGTAACTCATCGACATCTCGAATTCGATCCTGCAGCCTGTCACTGGAAGACGTCAGGCTGCTTACCATGTTCCTCAAAAACACAGCCTTCACCCTTCATTACAAGGCCCAGGAACTCTCCAAGTCTCGAGAAGCACTCGAAGCAGCTGCCAAGTCTCGCGTGAACTCGTACTTGGGCGCCTCGATTTCTCCGCCGGTGCAGAATGCCACCGCACTTTCTTCACTAAAAGGCCCAGCAAGATTGGGTTTGGACAGTCTACGAAGCATCGTCACTGTAGCGATGAAGATGCTCTACGAGAGAGACTCCAGAAAGCAATTCCTGCCAACGAACCATTGGCTCATGACGGACAAACTTGACAAGGAAGACTTTATCAGTGCTGTAATTGCAGAAGAGAAACGGCAGAACGAGGAAGACTCTGGAGACAGCGAGGACGAGGAAGAGGAGGATCCCCTCAGAATCTTTTCCACATTCGGCGGCCAGAGTCTATCACGGCGTGTGAGACTCGAACAACTGAAAGCCCAACAAACCCGGGCGATGAGGGAGCGACGGTTGGCAGAGATGGGACCCAAGCTGGAGATTCTCAAACATATGCCGTTTGCAGTGCCCTTCGAAACCCGAGTCATGATATTCCGTCAGTTCATCCAGCTCGATCGAGGCCATCGGGAAGGCAATATGCCTCGCCACTTCAACCCGTTCAACAAGCACCACGCCCAAATCCGACGAAAGAGACTCTTCGAAGATGCATACAAACAGTTCTACGAGCTTGGTGAGGGTTTCAAAGACCCAATACAAATCACCTTTGTGGATCAGTTCGGTACCGCTGAGGCAGGCATAGATGGAGGTGGTGTTACCAAGGAGTTTCTTATCAGCGTCACGTCGGAGGCTTTTGGCAACAACGAAGGGGCTGGCATGTTTGCCTCGAACGAGAAAGGACTATTGTTCCCCGATCCTACCGCCATGGATGTTCTCCGAGAGTCGTTACGGGAGAGCGGGCTATCCGAAGAGGATCCCGAGTTCAGAGAGTTCGTGACAAGTCAACTAAGACGGTTCGAGTTTCTGGGCAGAATCGTGGGCAAGTGCATGTACGAGGGTATTCTCGTTGACCTCGCCTTTGCAGGCTTCTTTCTTCTCAAGTGGGCATCGACTGGCCCTAACGACGAGAACAACTACAAGGGCAGCGTAAACGACCTTCGGGATATGGACGAGGACCTGTACAACGGCATGTTGCGTCTCAAGAACTACTCAGGCGACATCTCGGAGCTGGGGATCGACTTCACCATCGAAGACCAGGTCTCTCAGCCAGGTCAACCTGTCAAGACCATCACCAAGAAGCTGATTGCCAACGGCGATCAGGTACATGTTACCAACGACAACCGACTACTGTACATTTCGTACGTTGCCCGTCATCGTCTGGTGGTACAGCCCTCTCTTCAAACAGCAGCTTTCCTCCGTGGGCTTCGAGGAATCATCCGCCCTTCGTGGCTATCCATGTTCAACCAATCTGAGTTGCAACGCCTTGTCGGTGGTGACTCGTCCGAGATTGACATCGATGATCTCCGCCGCAACACCGTCTACAGCGGTCTGTATGAGATTGGTGACGATGGTCAAGAGCACGACACCATCAAGCTGTTCTGGAAGGTGATGCGCGGGTTCACAGACTCACAACGTCGCAGTGTGCTCAAGTACGTCAGCTCGACACCACGAGCGCCGCTGTTGGGCTTCTCACAGCTGAACCCCAAGTTCAGCATCCGCGACGGCGGCACAGATGAGGACAGACTTCCAAGCACCAGCACGTGTGTCAACCTCCTGAAGCTACCGAGATACAAGACCGAGGCGGTGCTTCGGGAGAAGCTTCTTTATGCTGTTACGTCGGGGGCTGGTTTTGATCTCAGTTAGCTATCATGATGCGATTACTTTGGGGGATATTGGTAGTTATGGAGTGGCAGAATGATTTGCATTAGCGACTGGAATGTACATGGATGGGGGTGAATGAATTCAGGACCGAGCATCTTAGAATACACAGGAATGGAAGTAATTTCCGCAAATTTGCTGATGGCTTTTCCCTGTGTGTATGGCTGCTGAGTCCAGGGCGAGTAGTAGAACCAGAGTGGTAAGGTATATAACGTCGAGGCTCTATAAATCATTCCATTACTTCACATCAGTCAAGGTAACGCTGCCATAGTTCATGAATAACTCTAACGTTGCCAGAGAACATGACTTGATAATCCCCTGAGTCATACACAGAAACTGTCTGAAAGAAGTAAACAGAGGCAAAGACGAGGAAAAGGGCATCATATCAGATACTCCCACATGAATAGATTGCACTTTTGTATTAGAAATAATCATTAATTCGGCCGTATATATATGGTGTAAGTCGTGTTATAACTCCTGGTAGTTCCTAGCTACCAGCATCGGTTTTCGCCTCCAGAGATCCAAAACCATCTGTCCAAACAGCCCATTCGCCCATGAGAACCTATACACATATTAGCTCGACGATAAGTGACAGCATCTCAAGAAACGTACCATGACCTCGTCCATTGATTCTCATTGTAACTGTTGACCGTCTCGTGGATCAGGCCGAGTCCGGCCGTCGAGTTCATCAACTGCCAGATACCATGGGCAATCTCGTCGTCGTCGTCGCTCGTCATGAGCTGGACGATGAGACCCATTGGCCACGCCATGCCCGGGCCGAGATGCGGTCCACCTGTGGCGTTGAGGATAGGACCCCTTGCGTAGTATGGGTTGGATGAACTGAGAACAAAAGCACGTGTGTTGTTGTAGAGGTGTGGTGAGGCGGGTTTGTAGCCAATATGTGGAATACTCAACAGCGAGGGCAAGTTTGCGTCGTCCTGAGTACCGGTTAGCATATCCTCTACTGGTTCCAGATTGTATGTGTGATATACCATGAGGTTATAAGATCCAAAGCCATCCACCTCATACGCATACATCTCACCAAACTCGGGATGCTCCACAATGCCATACTCGTTAATACCAAACTCAATATCTCCAGCAAGCTCCTCCATCTGCTGAGCCACCTCCTGGTCCAGGGGTGACATGATCTTTGCGCATGAAGCGAGGTACCGCGCAAACATCATGTTGGCGGGGATAAAGTATTGATATATGCACGCGTCGTCTGAAGGCCGGAAGAAGCTCCGTACAAGACCGATGTGGCCCTTGACGGGAGCGCCGCGGCCGTGGTTGGATACGGTCTCGGAGGCACTGTCTGAGTTGCGTAGCCACTTGTAGACTGAGTCCTGGACTCTCCCGTCCTTGTCGTAGGTACCCTCTTGCATGTGCTCAGCAACTTTAAGCAGCTTCTTAACAGCCTCTACCCAACCAAACTTTCCAAAGAAAGCACCATCGTCCGTCTTTTCGTAGTAATCCCACGACATCTGAAGAAAAGCAGCAAGCGAGTCGAGCTCATACTTGCACTCAAACACAACCTCCCCGTCGTACTTGGGGTTGACGGTGTCTCGTGCTTGGAGCGATCGCTTCGCGCGGCGGAGCTTGGCCTCGGGCGGAGGGTGGAAGGCGTTGCAGAAGGGCGCGTTGCGGATGTACCTGGCCTGGAGGTTGATTGCGCCGCGGAAGAGGGAGGCGATGTCGTTCTCGTCCTTGGGGGGTTTGGCGGGGGAGAGGATCGACTTGTAGGATTGGAGCTGGTTGGCGCTGTCGCGGAGCCACATGGCATTGATATCGCCGGTCGTGATGAAGGCCAGCTATACATAGTGTCAGTATATTCAAGACTAATTGGATATAGTAACTAACCTCCTCGTCTGGATTATCAGCCGCGACACCCCTCCATTTAATCGTAGTATCGACCGTGTTAGGCCACGTATTCTGGAACAAGTGAAAGAGATCAGGATCGGTAATGAGCTCCGTCATCTCCTCATAGATGAGGTGCTCAACAGCGGGGACAGAGTAAGTCCGACACTCCTGACTCGGACGCTGAAAAGGAAAATGAAAGCGGCCACTAGACGAGGGCTCATGGCCTTGACGGGCGTACTGCTCATAGTTGGGACATCCGGCCGAGACGGCTACGGCGGCCAGCAGAAGAGAGAAGAGTCTAGACATGGCGAAAATGGAGTCGTCATTTGCTGACGATCAATTATTACCCCGGAAGCATTGTGAGATGGATGTTTCTTCTGAGTGAAGGGTCAGCGAAAGGGGAAAAGCATGGATCTGAGATCCATGAAGGACGGTTTGGAGATGTGAGCTGTGGCCAATAGCGGCTCTTTACCCCTGGCACTTAATCTGGGGAAACGGAGGCCGGGTCTCGTGTTGGGGGCTTGAGCCAAGACTTTCAGGGGCACTGCCGGATTCTTCTTTGCAGCAGTTCGTCTGTGATTTCTTGTTCTTGACGGCTTTTTATTGCTTCGTGTGTTACTGCGGTTCGGTCTGGCGACCGGGTCATTCTATCTGCCTAGGCATCAAGGTCTTCTCCATCTTTGTCTCAATACAAGGAATTATCAAATCATGAGCTGTAGCTTACCACTTCTGGGGAAACAAGGTTATCAGATCCACGGGTCCATTCATTGAAGCTCAACCTCGGTACGTCCCTCGGGATATTTTTAGGTTCATCCCCAACAGCCCTACGAAATTGCCTTTTCTGGTCACATCTTGGAGATCAATATTACCCAGGGGAGACTAGACAATCCAGGAACTCAACACTTGGTAGATCGCAGATGGATCAAATTAACGAGTGTCCAAATCTCTGACCAATCCCGTGTTAGTGCTGCAAGGCACCAAAAAGAGTATTATTATCAAGGCCGTCTATAGTCTATCTCTATGCCGCCGTCCACGTCTATGTCTATCGTTCATCATCGTTCTGTACATCCTTTACTTTTGTTCAGGGGTTTCCTGCGCCAAACTTCCATTGACCGAAACGCTGTTGAGGAAATTCATCGAGTTGGGAATGGCTGGCACTGGGATCGTCGACGCGGGAATAGTCGATACAGGAAGAGACGGGTAGACAGTGGTCGAGTTGGGTTCTAAACAATAGTCAGCGCCCGATCACAGCCGATTCAGGTCAATAGAACTAGATGAATATCATACCTATCGTCACAAACTCGTATCTGACTGCCTGGAAATCGGTCCAGGGGGCTCCGCTCTCGGCCAGTTCCTTGAGAGTCCGTTGAATTCCGGGCAGGTTCATGTTGACGTACACGATGCCTTGCGTCAAGCTGGTGGCAAAGAGGCTGACATGGGGCATATCATTGCGTGCGAGAATGGTGTCGCCACATGGTTTCACCTGGACATACGGGTAACCGGGATGGGTCATGGACATGATCGGCAGGGCCTCGTTGATCAGCTTCACGCAGTCCCCGATGATGTCGGTACCGTTGTTGGTTGTGTTCATTCTGGATGAGATGGTAGAGTTTGGCTGGACGATGAGAGGGAGATGCTGGGATGAGGGCGAGTGGCCTAGTCGTGGTGTCCAACTTGGGGATGTCCAATGAGAGATGTATCCGGTTGGTTTCATATTTGGCAGATAGATTTATACTACCGAAATTGTCACATTCATTGGAGCATACAAGTGAAGCGGTATGTCTTATTCACGCGGGATCGTTCAGGCAAACCATTGGTGTTCAGTGATTCACATGGTAATGGTGATTGCCTTGCCAGTGGCTAATTAGACCCTCGTTCACGCCTTCATATGTCGATTATTGTGAATATGAACCGGATTCGGGTGTCATAATCTGAGTGCTTCATCCTTCATCCTATACACGTTGGGGAGGTGTCTAGTCTCTGAATATTGGACTCATTTCCCGCCTACCTGCAACCTGTCCGTGCCCTACATTTTCAAGGTCAACAAGGTAGGTGAATATTCACCAGTCAAGCTTCAGAGTCAGTCGATACACAATGCCGGGATATGAAGCGAGCTTTGGCCATTTCTTGTGTACATGCAAGGACATGGATCAGTGTCTGCGTATGACGTTGGCCCCTGACTTCTGCTTTGGTGTGTAGGGTAGCTGATGAACAATTTCCCCTATCGTTGTTGGAGGTGTGTAATCACGCCCATGGTAATGTATACGATTTGATAATAACATGGTCAAATGTTGATGGGTGCTAATCGATTATCGACCGTTTCTAATGTGACAACATGCCTCAGAGGCGTTGTTGATGTGGTGTGAAGGCTAGATATCACATACACCCCAAGTCTAAAAGTGACCAACCGGCGACTTGACTAACACGAGTTTTGATATCTCGCAAATGCAAGACCACATCACTCGACAACTCAAGTCGCCGCCATAAGCCCGACTTCTTCAAATTTCCCTCATCAGTGGATTCTATCATGCACAAACGTCCAAGTGGCTCGACGATACATACGACATCTAAGAGACGGTGAGAACCGCGGCAGACCGTGGTTATCCGGCGCTGACTCGTACAGCTGGACAGGTTCAGATACCTACTGTATTGCAAGACATAATTAGGAGTAGTGAGACAAGTTCCCTAAAAAAAAATTACAGTAGTTTAATAGCCTTTATGTTCAGGACATGAGATTTTGAGGCTGAGAATATCTATCAATAGCATCCATATCAGTCAGTGAATCCCGACTAGGATCTCGCACCACATCAAGCCACTCCTCAAAGCACAGATCTCCCACACCCTCACGGATCAAACCACCTGCCAGGGACTTGCAGAATCGGCCAGCCCCTCCCGGTCACTGTCACCATCACCACGTACATACGTTGTGGCATGCAGATCCAAGAAGCCGTGGCTTTTGACGTCTTTTACTGTTTAACCGTCCCAAGGCGTTGCAAGGCAAGTGACGGCGAAATAGGCTATTTGGGCCGAAGCAATGCGCCGGTAGCCAAAGCCGCGGTGAGAAGCCGGAAGAAGCCGAGTCTGAGCATCGGCCAAAGAGTGCAAGGATCCCGAGGGGGAGCTTGGGGGGGTAGAGTATTGACGTAAGTGCTAGAGCATTATCCTGGTTGATGGAATACGGAATTGACAATTCCGTGCTTTACTGTCACAGAGAAAGCAGAAACTCCAAGAGAAATGCATCGTCTTGTACCAAGTGAAGCCTCATACTGGGCGTCTCGAGAGTTCAAGATAAGCCCAAGCACGTGCATCAATGGATGATGACATTTCCACATGCTAGCGGTTCAACCTTACCCCAGATTGAAACGTGAAAGTCAACGTCCCATCCACCCCCATTCTTGAAAATCAAGTACTTGGCCAATACCTGGCCTCTACCTCCCTCCGGAGCCGAGCTCTAGCTCGTCAACCCGGTGCCGCTGGAGCCCATGGCACCTCCATCTGCGTCCTCGGTTCCGGTCTCTTGTAGGTCCTAACCTCGTCCCTCTTCGGCTATGAAATCCCGAGCGCCGACGAGGACGCCCTCAGATGCGAGAATCCCTCTTCTCCTACCACAGGGATGGGGATAGGACTTGAGTAAGCGGATAAATAGATATGTTGCCTGAACAGGCAAATTCCACCAGGACCCTGTTATCTATTGAGCGTTGAAGAGAGAGTCTCGTCGTGACCAAGTGACGCAACTCACCCAAGAGTCCATTGTCCCCTCTGCTAACTAGACACCCACCGACGAGCCAATTGACAGTCACTTAATGGTCAATTCCCACCAGAGCCAGCAACCAGAGACCGGCATCACACACCCCCGGCACCGGCACGTTCCCCACTACCGGCTCTTTTTGCTCTTGCAGCTGGAGGGCAGGGCACAAGGGAAAACGGCGAAAAGCTGCTCGACTCGCCGGTTGCCCCTCAGGACTTGGACTTGAAAAGCTTCCCTCCATCCCTCTCCTCCCCGCTTCGCAGCGTCTTCAATCCCTCTCAGTCTCCCTACATCATGTCGGCGGCTCCCAGACCTGTATCGCGCTGCGTCCAGCGCAGCTCGCGGGTGCTCTCACGTTCACAATGGCGGCCCACAAGGTCCAGCTTCTGTCCCGCGACGGCAAGATCCTGCCTTTCGAGGAGGAGTACCACCGCATGGCCTGTCATGAGGGTGCCAATGGCATCCCGAACCTTTAGCACTACCTCTCGTCTCCGCGATGACGACAAAGACTTTGACCCCGCGAGCATCGAGCGTGAGGCCGACGAGGTCGACGTCTGTATTGTTGGTGGCGGTCCCGCGGGGCTCAGCGCTGCTATCCGCCTCAAGCAGCTCGCCAACGAAGCCGGTAACGAGGACTTCCGTGTCCTCGTACTCGAAAAGGCCGGTGATATCGGCGCTCACATCCTCTCCGGCGCCGTGATCCAGCCTACCGCTATCAACGAGCTTATCCCCGACTGGCTCGACGAGGATAACCCCAACCGCTTCGAACATGCGACCCCGGCCGGCGACGATCGCATGCGCTTCCTCACCAAGACGGCCGCGATTCCCATCCCCGCGCCTCCACAGATGAGCAACCACGGAAACTACATTGTCAGCTTGAACCAATTCGTCAAGTGGTTGGGCGAGCGCGCCGAGGAGGTCGGCGTCGAGGTCTACCCAGGCTTTGCTGCCTCCGAGGTCGTCTATGGCCCCGGCGGTGCTGTCAAGGGCGTTGCTACCAACGACCTTGGCATTGGCCGTGACGGCAAGCCCAAGGAGACGTTTGAGCGTGGTATGGAGTTCCACGCCAGAGTCACAATGTTTGGCGAGGGTTGCCACGGCAGCCTGAGCAAGCAGGTCATTAACAAATTCGACTTGCGCCGAGACAGCCAGCACCAGACTTACGGCCTGGGTATCAAGGAGGTCTGGGAGATTGACCCGGCCAAGTTCGAGAAGGGTCTGGTTGTGCACTCAATGGGTTACCCTCTTTCCAAGGATGTGTACGGAGGGTCCTTTATGTATCATTTTGGTGATAACCTCGTCCAGCTGGGTCTTGTCGTGTCGCTCGACTACCAGAACCCTTGGCTTTCGCCCTACCAGGAGTTCCAGAAGCTCAAACTTCACCCCCTCTTCCGCAATGTCCTCGAGGGCGGCAAGTGTATCTCATACGGTGCGCGTGCCCTCATCGAGGGTGGTTTCCAGTCCATTCCCAAGGTCGCATTCCCCGGTGGTGCTCTCATCGGCGACTCAGCTGGCTTCGTCAACGTCCCCAAGGTCAAGGGCACTCACAACGCCATGAAGTCTGGTATGCTCGCCGCCGAGGCCGCCTGGACCGCCCTCAGCGAGCAGAAGGATGACGGCACAGTCTTCCTGTATGACTACGAGAACAACCTGCGAAAGTCGTCCATCTGGAAGGAGCTCAAGGAGGTGCGCAACATGCGACCGTCCTTCCACACCCCGCTTGGCCTTTACGGCGGTGTCATGTACTCCGGCCTCGAGGCCTACTTCCTGAAGGGCCGTGTTCCCTGGACCCTCAAGCACAAGACCCCCGACCACGCCGCCACCAAACCCGCCGACAAGTTCCCCAAGATCGAGTACGAGAAGCCCGATGGCAAGATCACCTTTGACATCCTCACGAGCGTCTCCCGCACCGGTACGAACCACGAAGAGGACCAGCCTGTCCACCTGCAGGTCAAGGACTGGGACGCCCATACCGAAGAGACATACCCGCCCTTCAAGGGCGTCGAGAACCGCTTCTGCCCGGCCGGCGTCTACGAGTACGTTGAGGATGAGTCCAAGCCTCACGGCGTGCGGTTCCAGATCAATGCCCAAAAGTGAGTCAAACTCCCCACCGCCCCCTTTGAAGCCTCACTCTGCTCTTGAGACATGGGGGAGAGAACGCGCATCCATGACGACTTCATTGCTAACATCTCTGCAACAGCTGCATTCACTGCAAGACGTGCGACATCAAGGCTCCTAACCAAGACATCAACTGGCAGGTGCCGCAGGGAGGCGAGGGTCCCAAGTACTATATGACCTAAGGGCCGAACAAGCCCGGATGTTTTGTTTTTGTTTCTTTACTGTGTATGATACCTGATTTTGTATACCTGGATGCATACTCGGCGCGTGTGGATGAGAGGTAAATATGGCCAGAGCCAGAGGAGAGGGAATCTGATTTGGTTGGGCATCGGAGTCGGCGAAAAACAACAACATGATCTCAGACATGAAGAGAACTTTCGAGAATGGACTGGACGTGATTGAAATGCGGCAACAAGTGAGATGCGGCACCTCCCATGTTGTTGATGTGTTCCTTTTAGCCGGCAGGCAAAAAATAAGGTATCGGAGCCGCATGGATTCCAGCGCTCAATGCGAGCAGATGGAGATGGTTTGAGATCTAGAACCTCGAACATGTGGAGAGCGGGCTCCGGTCGTCGTATGTAGGTGGCCCTTGCTTGCCCATGAGGGAGCGCGGCAGCCGTGGCACAGAATCAGAGAGAAACCTACATCGAGGCTGAGCAGATGGATGCATTCGCGGCGACATTCCACGGCCAAAAGCAAAAGCAACAGCAACAGCGCTGCTGGCTGTCTCGAGCGTCTTGCTTGAGCGTGATTGCTTGAGCGACGGCTAGTGTTGCAGGTGAGCAAGGGAAGAAGAACTTGTTCTGCACAGTCGCATTCGGTTCGTGCTTGACTCGACTTGGCCGTCAGCATGCATGCCCAGGGAGTTCGTGAAGAGCTTCAACAACAGTGGTCCTCCGGATGGATGCCAAGGGCCGAACAAGTTTTGCCTAAGCGAAGTGAGGACTGGGACTGGCCCCAGAGGTCATCCTCTCCATCAACCTTTTCCCTCGTGTGCGGAGTCGTTTGGGGATCCATCAAGATTGCAATGGGAGAATAAGCTAGCACGACAGGGCGACCCTGGTAGAAACCCTGGGGAATTTCAAGTGAGGCTGGTTCGCAAGGGATCTTTGCTTGATAAAACCAGGTCAGGGCGTTGAGCGGAGACGGGGTGGAGATTCAAACAAAGGTGGGCACAAGCCCCAAGGTCGCAAAATCGAGAAATTGTTAGTGAGGTACTTCTGTCAGCAACCCCCCATCACGGACGCGTTCTCGTAAGAGGTAACGGTACTGGGCGATCCTGGGACAATCGAAATTTTCGCGTCACCACTCTCGGGCGTCTAGTCACCCCGAGGGAAACGTGGCCTCAATGCAGCCTGGCCCAACATTCACGAAGGTGCTGGAGCCTCGACCCCATCATCTGTACGGAAGATGCGAGTCGCCGCATGGTTTGACTTGCGGTGAACGGAATGAAGGAGAGAGTAATAAAAGAAAAAAACCAGGACACATGACACCGGGACAAGAAAAGGCATCAACATCACGGAGCCTGGTGCAAAGCTTGCTGACAGTCATTCACGAAGCCCTTGTACTGGGTACGTGATGCAAACAGCCAGTCAAGGGCCACACAGAACCAGCCTCCCTGGTGTCGCGACAGGACTCATGCCAGCCCGTCTCTGGTTGGTTGCAGTTGAATGACTCACAAAGTCGGCCGGCGGCTGGGGCCACAAGGGCACCAAGGGCACGAGGGGAAAAAATGGAAAAAAACCCACAGCCTGCTGGTTCCCGCTTGAGCAGGGAAAACTCTGCGCGGTATGGCCGAGCGCCTTGCGCATCCCATCGCAGATTAGATGAAGTGATGCGCCGAGCCGTCTGTCTGCTGCTCTCTCATGGCGTGACCTGACATGAGACGTTTGCGAGACGGACGTCGCAGAAAGCAAACGAGCACTCACTCATGCGGGCGCAGCACAACGACTTTTGTGAAGTGAACAAGAACGACGACACGTCCTAGGGGGGGCACTAGGACTGAGAGAAATATCAGTAAAGGGGGCAGAGCGTGTTTCAGGGTGTCGGTGTCCTGTTGGTGGTTGGCGACAGTCGGTGGGTGGTTGGATGAGAAAAGAGAGTCCCACGGGGGGCGACGAAAGGGTTTGACAGGGCCGAGGGTGGCTGGAACTTGAAAAGAGTGGGTTGGGTGCGCGCTCCGACGACGGGGGTACGCGATTGGGATTCGGATTGGGGGGCGACTCTGGGTGGACGCCAGCGCAAGGAGCCTGCGACTGGACAGCCAGCGTGAGAGGGGCGAGCCCAAGAAAGCCTGAGATGAGTGAAGTAAAAAAAAATAAAAAAAAGCGCCAAAAAGCAACCAACCATGGTCCGTCGGTTAGGCCCTGGTCCATAATTTCCAAGCCGTCTCCGTGGCCCACAGGGCATTGAGGCTCCATGGATAAGCGCTGTGACGCTCTCTCTGGCGGCCAGATTGCGTGCTGCCCGTCCCAAAGTCCGAGACGAGTCAAGTCAGTCCAGGCCAAGCCAGGTCAAGTCAGGCTTTTTCGCCGCCGTGGTCTTGGTGCCCGCCCGCTCCAGCTGTGCCCGCCTTTTCCGCCGTCGTGATCGCTCCCGTCGTTGCTTATCGTCGTTTTCGTCCGTCACGAGTCGTTTGCCGATGTCCGGTTCTTATTCTCGTTCGTTTTGTCGTCTCATCTCATCGCTGCTCGGTCATCGTCCTTTATCGCTTCCGTCGCGCCGTCGTCTGTCTCTTGTTTTGTTGCGTCGTCGAGGTCGTCTCGCCCTCTGTGCCCAACGTGCAGATTGGTGCGAGGGATGGCGGTAAGTAAGTTGGTTGGGAGAGAAGAGGAGGGGAGAGAGAGTGACGGGAGGGACAGAAGAAAGTCCAGGGGGGAAGATGACGAGGACAGCAGGAGATGGCTGACCACGGCTGGACTGTTTGCTCACAGGTTGCTTGTGATCTCGCTGTTCAGCGGGCACTGGCCACCATGGATTGGGCAGCGGGACCCCCTGGCAGTGGCGATCGCAGGCCTCTTGGGGCTCTCCTTCACTGTGCATCTCAGCCTGCAGCAAGTTCGAGTTCGAGCGCGCGCAGCAGGGATGGGATCCATGGACAGGATTGGATGCGATGCGATGGAAAAGAACCGAGGCTCACCTCTTGAGGTCCTAGGTACCTCGACTCTGAGTGTGTTACAGCGTCACTTCAGGGGCTCAATGCTCAGACTGGGGTGCGTGGGTGGGAAAAAAGGAGATAAAATCAGCGTCGCGATAGTGTTTGATTGGCCGCATTGACTTTAGCGCGTGCACTAGCGTCTGCCAAGCCTGCCAGCGGCGACGCCACAGGTAGCGTTGTTGCCTGGGGTGTCCTGCCTGAGCGGCCTTTGACCAAAATTATAAAGAGCCGGGCCTCCCCTCGCCCGCCTGTTTCGAAGGACCTGCGCGGAATTCCCGACCGACGGCCTTACGTACCTACCACTTACGTTCGGCTCTCCTCTACCTAATACCTGCTACCCCACGACGTCACACCCCACACACCACACCACCACCAAAAAGTCATCGGACATTTTTTCTTTTTTACACTTGTCCACCTCTGCCTTTGACCATCATCACGTCAAGGCTCACTCCCTTGTCCCTATTTCTCTCTTCTTTACGTTATCTCACCGTCGCGTTCGTCTTTCGGCAGACGTGATCGCTCTCTAGTTTGGGAAGAAAAGGACCTGGTGCCGACACCCACATCTGCGACCAGGCAAAAAGAACTGGAACACGTTCCTTGCCCTCTATCGCTCCTTGCGCGCAATCGATTTCGTTGATCCCGACCAAGACCGGAAGAAAGCGATCCCCCGTCGCCACCGTCGACGTCGCCGAATCGATTTGCGCTGTTGTAGACAACAATAAAAAGAAGTTGCTGTGAAGTGAAAGAAGTCCTTACTTGGTCTTCTTGAGTCCTGGTTGTTGGTTGGTTACTCTCACGAGCACATCACCACACGTCAAAAAAGTCAACCGACTTCACTGCATAACCTTCCACATCATTCTGCATTGATCCTCTGCCTTTGGCGCTTTTTGAGGACAATCATAGTCGTTCGGACAGCTTTCTTGTAGGGGACACATTCACTTGTTTCTCTCCCGCGCCGATTGGTAGGTTGCCCCTCTGACTCACTGCACCGCCTCCTACCCCACCTATAAATACCCCGTTTCTTCTCCCATTTTCAAACTTCCCTCTTCCATCATTCCGGCGATCGCTCTTGTGTTCGCCTTCAACCACGTCGCGCACTGCTCTACCTCTATCGGTAGGGCGCTTCTTTTTCGCTCATTTCGACGTGCGATGCTAACTGGATTGTCTGGCAGATCTGTTCAGCGATTTTTACGAACCGTTGACACCTCTCTCGATACCGACTCCAACCATGGAAGGCATCCAGACACACCCCTCGAACGCGGCGCAAGCCAAGGCCTTCACTGCGCCTGGGTCGCTGTCGTTTCCCGGGGCAACCAACGAGTTGACACCACCCGCTGGCAACGGGAATGCAGCTCAGCTCCCTGCTCCCAACGGCCAGCAGGCGGCAAATGGCAACGGGGTGACTCCCGCGACGCCTGCCGCTACGCCTGCTGCCACTCAAGGACCTAGTGGAATCACTCCCACTCTTCAGTATGTATCCTCCTGAGTGATCTTTTCCTGCTCAGAGAGGCTTATCTCGCAAACTTAAAGGAACATCGTGGCCACCGTCAACCTTGACTGCCGCCTTGACCTCAAGACCATCGCCCTGCATGCGAGAAATGCAGAGTACAACCCTAAGGTACAATAGGTTCTTTGTTTGCATCGTGTTGCGACAAGTCGCTAACCTGGTCAGCGTTTCGCCGCTGTTATCATGCGAATTCGTGAGCCCAAGACCACGGCCCTTATCTTTGCCTCTGGCAAGATGGTCGTCACCGGTGCCAAGTCGGAAGATGACTCGAAGCTCGCGTCGCGGAAATACGCCCGTATTATCCAGAAGCTCGGCTTCAACGCCAAGTTCACCGACTTCAAGATCCAGAACATTGTCGGCTCCTGCGACATCAAGTTCCCCATTCGTCTCGAGGGTCTGGCTTCGCGCCATCACAATTTCAGTTCTTACGAACCCGAGTTGTTCCCTGGTCTTATCTACCGTATGATTAAGCCCAAGATTGTGCTGCTCATCTTCGTCAGCGGCAAGATCGTCTTGACAGGTGCCAAGGTCCGAGAAGAGATCTACCAGGCCTTCGAGATGATCTATCCTGTGTTGCAAGGTTCGTACACTGATTTTCTCTTTGGCAAGACATTCACTGACTTTCATTTCAGATTTCCGCAAGGTCTAAAGCAACATCTACTCTTCGAGATGTCACAGTCTCGGATCACTACTATACCACATTACCGACGTGTATGATAGACAACCCGTCACGATACCACGATTGCTTTTTTTTTCCTCGCCGTTCTGCTTGATTTCGATAACCGAGCAGAGCGGTCGAGTTGCGTTTGTATCATTTTTGAATTGTTTTCCTGCATTGCATCGGCGTTGGCGAGGAAGGCCGGAAAGGGCATTTTTGCGAGGGATTCCGGTTCAAGAGGAAAAAGATAAGACTACTCATCCCGCGACACATCATAGATTGCTCGCGCCGGTCCTGCGGCGCATGCGCTCAGTTGACTTGAGCGCCATTAATTATCAAAGGGACACGCTGAGTGGAGGGGAGGAGGCAGCAAAGTCGTGAAGCGTTGCTGGAGCGAGCCTGATGAGGCTGAAGAAACAAAGCGACCTGGAGACGGGACGCGTGAAACACAAGGAGAGCAAAGTCGGCGATCTTGGTCATTGGCTGAGATATCCATCAAGTCGCAGACCCAGATGGACTGAACAAGACTTTGAGGCGAGGCCTGAAGAGTGCAAGCACTTCTGTCCTGTATTCAGATAGGAATCAAACCCAAGTTCTCTCCCAAATGAATGAACATGCCTCCTGATGTGATGTGTGTCTTAGCCAAGTGTGTGTGCCTTGCGTTTTGTGTGTCATCCAAAACAAAACATCGCGTGCGTGATCCCCAGCTCACGTGCCCGGCCAATCGCCCTATCTTTGATGGTCATGCCGGCCAGGCCCCCGGAGTCTAGCCCCGATCCTCGGCAGAGCTAACTTCGCCCAGCCGCAGTGATTATGCGGTTCTAGTGCCATGCTCACGCCTCCCCGTCGGCCACCGCCGTGATCGGGAGGTGGGAACAGGAAAAGTCTTCGCCTTTTATCGGCACACTTCGACCGCCTCCTCGGGAACGTCCACGTAGATAACAAGGGAACGTTCTTCTAGACTTCTAGAGAAAGCTTGTCGTCTTCCCATTGACACGTAGATCGCCCTCGTCCGTCGCAATGGCTCCCGCTCCCTCCTCCATCCTTATCGTTGGCTCTGGCGTCTTCGGCCTCGGCACCGCCTATGCCCTCACCCAGCGTCCCTTCTACTCAAACACCTCCATCACTGTTGTGGATGACTGCGCAGGCCAATTCCCTCCGGAGGATGCTGCCAGCGTAGACTCTTCTCGTATCGTGCGAGCCGACTACTCAGACCCTCACTACGCCGCGCTTGCCGCCGAGGCCCAGGAACAATGGCGACAGCAGGGTGACGACGAAGTTGGTGGCCAGGGAAGGTATTCGGAGTCGGGCTTCGTCCTCTGCGCAAGCCACCCGCCCAAGGACTTTAACCTCAAGAAGTCCGGCATGGACTATACCAAGGAGAGCTGGAAGAACATCGAGTCCATCGCCCAAGCCACGGGTCTGCCCACTGATAAGATTGAGAGGCTGGAGAGCACAGAGGCCTTGCAGAAGAAGCTCGGAACAGACGGTTATCCCGGCGATTGGGGCTACTTCAACGGTAACTCTGGTTGGGCCGATGCCGGAAAGGGCATGCAGTGGCTTTACAAGAGAGCCAATGCCACTGGACGGATCCAGTTCGTTGACGGCAAGGTGACAGAGCTTGTGACAGAGGGCGACCGGGTCGTCGGCGCCAAGCTGAGCGATTCGAAGGTTCTCAATGCCGAGGTGGTGATGGTGGCTGCAGGAGCCTGGTCCGGCTCCCTCGTCGATCTGCGAGGCAGGACGGAAGCCACTGGGCATGCCGTCGTGTACATGGACATCACAGCGGATGAACAGAAGGCCTTGGACAACTACCCGGTGGTATTGAACTTGAGCACTGGTCTGTTCGTGATCCCGCCGCGAAACCAGGTCCTCAAGATCGCCCGCCATACCTTTGGATACATCAACCCCGTCAAGATCACCAAGGCTCTCCCTCCGTCGCCCACGGACAAGCGAGAGCCTTTTATCGCATCGCAGCCATACACCGCCCGAAACGACGCTTCGAACCCTCTGCCTACCGAGGCCGACCGAGATCTTCGCCGAGCACTGAAGGATCTGACCCCCGTCCGTGGTCTGGAGAACAGGCCATGGAAGGAGGCTCGCATCTGCTGGTACTCGGACACACGCGACGGCGAGTGGCTCATCGACTACCACCCAGGCTGGAAGGGTCTCTTCGTGGCGACGGGCGACAGCGGACACGGCTTCAAGTTCCTGCCCAACCTGGGCGACAAGATCGCAGACGTCCTGCAGGGTCAGGGCGGAAAGCTCGGAGACAAGTGGCGATGGAGGGAGATTGAGAAGGATGGCGTGGGAAGGGAGACGGACGGTGTTTATAAGGGTCTGATCACCGAGGACGGAAGTCGAGGTGGTCGCCCCCTTGTCTTGTGCGACGAGCTGGCCAAGGGGCGGGCTCCGATTGGAGAGCCAAAGGCTAAGCTATGATAGAACATTAGATGGCCTAGATCGTTTAGATTGGATAGTGTACAGATGAAGCGTTAATAGTCAAGAATAAACTTGTTGTTTTGCTGGACAGTCAGGTCATGATCGAGTGCATGCACGACAAAAAGACGAGGCACTAGTACACAGGAGTCTGCGTGTTATCTCTTCACGGTAGCTGTAGAGTCGAAAGAACCAGGAGACACAACAGGTCTAGAGTGTTTCCTTTCTTATTGATGTGTGTATTTAATTGTTTGATATATTTTATCTGAATTTACTTAAAATACGCATCAAGGGTTAATTGACCTCCTCATTGTCCAGGAGTCTCATTTATTTTTGTTGATGCGCGGTGTAGGGTGAGCCTCCCTCCAGTGCGTGTCCCGCTGGAGCCTTGCAGCAACAACGCCCGGGCCACTCAGCTGTCGCCTTGCCGTTATGGGTGCTTGACCTCAACGCCAAGCAAGCTCTCAAGCTTCTCTCGTCATCCATCATCGCAAACATCAACAGCCACCCCCAGCGCCTTCCCCCGTCAACCCCCAATCTCTCACCTTACGCACGCAGTCGATACATACACCGCCAGTTGATACTCTTCCCGATAAAACACTCCCGCCCGCCGCCATCATGGGCTCCGATCCTCAGTACGCGAAATGGCCACTGCTGCCTCTCTCGCAGCACGTCTTCACTCTCACAAACGCCTATGCCTCCAAGACGGCCCAACAAGCCGCCGTCAAGGTTCTGCAAGATGCCATCGCCGAGGACAAGATGGCTCCCTTCTACCGTTACCTCGCCCATCCCCTCGACGGCGTCCTCAACACCATCGGCGAGGGTGGCGCCTCTGCTCCCGGCAGGCCCCTCAGTCGAAAGTCGAGCCTTGTCGGTATGGTCGCTACCAAGCCTGCTGCCACCGTCATCAGCCTTCCTTGGGATGAGGGCTTGTATAACCAGCTGAAGGAGGACAATGACCGCGAGCTGCAGGAGTTCCAGAAGGAGGAGGATGAGGCTGTTGAGCAGGCTGGTGATACTGAGATCATGGCTGCCAAGGGCAAGCGCGCAGAGTTCTGGGCCCGGGTGGGCGACAAGGTACATCTCTAGAACTCAAAGCGATGCTCTACGTATACCCGCTAACACCCCCCTAGGACAAGGCCATCGCCGCCTACGAGAGCGTCTTTGAAAAGACGGGCATCCTCGGTACTAAGATCGACCTCGTCCTCGCTATAATACGCATGGGCCTGTTCTATGGAGACAAGCCCCTCGTAAAGAAGCACGTCGAGCGCGCCAAGACTCTGGTCGAAACGGGCGGTGACTGGGATCGCCGCAACCGCCTCAAGGCCTACGAGGGTCTTCACCTCCTCACCGTCCGATCCTACAACCTCGCCGCCCCGCTGCTGCTCGACTCTCTCTCCACCTTTACCAGCTACGAGCTCTGCACCTACTCTAACCTTGTTGTCTACTCGGTTCTCGCAGGCTCCGTCTCTCTCAAGCGTGTGGACTTCAAGTCCAAGGTTGTCGATGCCCCCGAGATCAAGGCCATCCTCGGAGATGGCGAGGACAAGCTGCTGGCCCTCAGCGGCGCCCTTAGTGCTGGACCTGGTGCCGATGACACCACTGGTGTCAAGGCCCCTAAGACTGCCGCTGTCAACCTGACCACTCTGGGCACTAGCACCGACCAGCCCGAGGCCGAGTTGGCCATCGACTTTAGCCCTCTGGCCCTTCTTGTCAGCAGCCTGTACAACGGCAACTACAAGACCTTCTTTCGATCTCTTGCCGAAGTTGAGGAGCAGTTCCTAAACCAAGACCGCTACCTTCACGAGCACAAGAGCTGGTTTATCCGTGAGATGCGCCTGCGCGCCTACCAGCAACTGCTCCAGAGCTACCGCGTCGTTGGTCTTGAGAGCATGGCCAACGATTTTGGTGTGACCGTCGACTTCCTCGACCGGTAAGTTACCCTTCATTAAATGTGAGAATATACTGACTTTTACCTCCAGTGATCTCGCCCGCTTCATTGCCGCCGGCCGCATCCCCTGCACCATCGACCGTGTCACAGGCAAGGGTGTCATTGAGACGAACCGACCCGACGACAAGAACAAGCAGTACCAGGACGTGGTCCGCCAGGGCGATCAGCTCATCACCAAGCTGCAAAAGTACGGCCAGGCCGTGCGGTTGAGGGGAAGCGAGAGGGCGTAGAGCTGAGGGGGGAGCCTCTGATATCATGCCAATTACGCAGGGTTGCTCTGGGCGAGGATGGGAAAGGAGGGATTGCTCATGCCCACTACCTATTTGTTTGACTGTATGATAGATATGGATTAGACAAGCCATTGCGGTAATAGATTGGCTGGTGTCCCGGTGATGAACAAAAAACATGGGCTGATGCCCACGTCAAGGCGTGGTGGTGACAAAAGATACTTATCTGATGAGCACATGTGTTGATGTAAAATAACTCAGTCAAGGCCATTATCACCATCACCAACATGGCACGATAGGCGTAGACCAGCAAGGGGTCAGTGCATCACGACAACCCTCGAGGTAAGGGATGAACTTCCATGGTATGGACGCTAGATTGAGCCTCTATTAATCCAGATCTATCTAGCCCGACGCTAAAATGTTTGCATTTGTTTGTTTCTCTTTTATTTGTGACCATAACCTTTGACTAACCCGTCTCTTTTTCATGACATGCCTCCACACACCATGGGCCTCATGCCACGGACACCAGGGCCGAAGACTTCGGCCCCGAACCACCGAGACCCCTCTGGCAGCAACCCCGCCATGGTTCGCAGCGAAACTCTTGGCAGGGGTTGAACCGGCGACGCGCAGCCAATGCTATCGGCCGCTTTATTGGTACTTCTCGAGGAACTCCTTGTGGAACTTGATGATGCTGCCAACCCACTCGGTGCCGGGGGCCAGGAAGGTGGTTCGGAAGTGGAGGGTGCCCTCCTTCTGGCCGAAACCGGCGCCGGGGACGACGCAGATACCGGTGGCCTCGAGGAGGCGCATGCAGTAGAACTCGTCGGGCTTTCGGCCCTCAGCGGCGGCGGCCTCGGCGGCCTTCTCGGGGAGGGTGATGGTGGGGAAGAGGTACATGGAGCCCTGGGGAGCGGCGCACTCGACGCCCTCCATCTCACCAAAGGCCTTGTGCAGGGCGTTGGCACGCTCACGGAGACCCTCGAAGATGCCGTTGTACTCCTTCTGGTAGAGCTCATATGAGGGCTCACCCTCCTTGGGAGGGTTGACCATGAGCTCAACGATGCACTGTCCGATGACGGGGGAGCAGAGCATGATGGAGATGAACTTGTAGATGTTGGCCTCAACCTCGGGGTCGAAGTTGACGAGCTCAAAGTAGCCACCACGGTGGCCACACTCGCCGACCATGCCCTTGGAGATACTATGGAGGGAGGCGAGCTCGAGGCCGTCAAACTTGCCGGGGTTCTCCTCCTGGAGACGTCGGAGGACGGCCTTGAAGCTGTGGAACTTGCCAACAAAGACGTTGGTCTGGTAGACCTCGTCGGCCATGACGACGAGGTTCTTCTCGTTGGCGAACTCGAGAACGGCGCGGATGTCCTCCTCGGGGAGAGAGGCACCGGTGGGGTTGCCGGGGTTGATGATGACGATGCATCGGACGTCGGTGCCCTCGGCGACGGCCTTGTCGTACGAGGCACGGATGATGTCGAGGTCGGTTCCCCAGTTCTTGGACTCGTCAAGGAGGTAGGGGACAGCCTTGGCGTTGAGGAGAGCGAGGGTGGCAGTGTAGAGAGGGTACTGGGGGATGGGGATGAGGATGCCGGTGTTGGGGTTGGCGCAGATTGTGTGGAGGAGCGTGTTCACACCGGACGAGGCACCGGCGGAGAGGTAGATCTTGGAGGGATCGGCAGGGAAGCCATCACGGCCTGGGAGAGTTAAATGGGGCCCTAAAAGGCAATCAGGGGGCTCACTCACGCTCAATGAACTTGGCGACGCTCTCGCGGATAGCAGGAACACCAGTGCTGGCGCTGTAGGCACCGACAGAGCCAACCTTGCTCAGGAGCCACTTGGCACGCTCAATGACATCGGTCTTGTAGCCGAGGTGCTGAACGAGAGCCTCCTCGCTCTGGAGGAGCTGAGGGTTCTCAAGGATACTGGCGACCTGGCGGAAGAAGGTCAGGGGCTTCTGGTCGAGCTGCTGAGGGTTTCCGATGTTGGCCGAGATGACATGCTCGAAGGGGAGGTCGGCGGCGTCGCCAGAGGCAATCTTTGCTCGGTACTCCTCGGACTTGACAGCGAGCTCACCGCGGACGGCGTACTTGGCAGCAACAATGTGCTGGTTGATGTTGTCGACTGTCAATCTCATTTTTGCGGTGGTGGTGGAAAAGGAGCAAGACTGATGGTGGGGGAGCAAGATAAGAGCAGAAGTTTTTGGCGGGGTAGATTTATGAGGAGTCGACGCGAGTAAGGGTCGTCGCGGGGTAGTAGTCGAGGTAGCAGTAGCACAACTAGCACGGGGACCGACTATATATAAGGCGAAAAAAACATCGAACGAGTTAGCAACATAATCACCCAATCTTGAACAACGAGGGAATTTGTTATTGTCAATGCTTTGAGGTCGCAAGCCTCGGGCCAAGGGGGATTAGACCAGACAAGGATGAGATGATCGGTGTGAGTAAGAGAGACGTGCGCAAATAGAGAGGGAGAGGGAGAGGAAGCATACACTGTAGCACTGCGGGGGAAGACGCTGCAAGTTCGTGTAAGAGGACACGAGAACCGGAGGATGAAGGAGTAGAAGTGTAAGAGGGAAGGGAAAGGAAGGGTCAACGAGAATGAGGGCGGAGCCGGATACAAATAGAGCGAGCAGCTCGGGCAATAACGCAGAAGCTAATGTCTAATGGAAATAGACAACAAGCTCCCGTCGTCAGAGGCAGCAGCAGTAGTTGCAGCAGTAGCAGCAGCAGAAGTCGCATCGCAAAGCAAAGCAACAAAGCAAAGCAAGCATAGCAACGGCTAATTGCCCACCATCACCACCACTCACTCTCCACCCGCAACCACATCACCACGTCTGGGGGTGGATGGGGGGGACCCGGGTGGGCTGCGGTGGGTGGTCTTGAGACGCACGACGGAAAATCAGCGCATTTTGTGGGTGGCCGGTCGGTCGCCTGACATGGGACTAACATGGACGAGCGAGGCCATCCGCAAAAGCCAGCCCTTTCGTCCTCGTCATGGACAATGCGGCGCTCGCCCCCCCCTTGAGCCGGGAACATTCTACAGCGCTACTGTATCCCGCGTTGCCTCACTTCAGGGCCAGGGCCCATGGTGAGTTCAGGGCACCCCCCCCCTTTCTTCCCCTCCGTGGAGAGAGCTGCGTGGGTGTGGGCATGGGGCATGGATGGATTGGGGGGAAGAGCATGGATGGGTAGGGACGGGCAAGGGACGGGGATTCAAGGTCCGGACCCGGATCCCCGGAAAAGGACCTGACGAGGGGAGGATGTACGGTGCAGGAAGCTGATGGGTAAGGGTGAAACTGAGACAGGGCGAGCCGAAACGGCATGATCATGATGGTTGATGCTGATGATGACGACCTTTGACACCATCCAATTGACGAAAGAAACCAAAAAAAAAAAGATCCCGGTCCCCGGTCACCTCGTCCGAAGGAGAAGCTCGGGCTCGGAGGATCCCGAAGCGATGCCGGGGTTTGCTCGGGGCTAGGCCACCGCTCTCACCCATCAGATGGTGCCGTGCTTCGGGAGAAAGCGACTTGTAAAAGAAAAAAAGGCGGCTGAAGAAGGGGAGGGGAGAGGGGAAGGGGAGAAAAAAGATAAGCTAGGGACGTGGGAACAAGTGGGCAGCGCGTCGTGCATGCAGTGCAGAGCACAGCGGGAAGCGCGAATGGCATGCCATGACATTGCCAGGACGAGGAAAAATAGCAGATCCAATCGAACGCCTTGCAAGATTCGCGGACCGCTTGAGCTAGATCGCGCATAGGCGCGGCCGATGCCTCGGTTTTGTGACTCTCTCCGACGTCTTCTCTCTCTCTCTCTGCGTCTGGCATCTCTCTCTCTCACTCTCACTAGAGCATCTCTTTCTGACTCCCGCATTGTCGGGACCGGCCCGGCCATACAGACGGAGGCGCAGATGCAGGTGCATCGCCCGAATGGATGGGATGGTTGGTTGGTGTTTGTGCCGGTAATTCTTCTTCCCATCACCCACACACACACACGCAACGTACAACAAGCTCTCTTGACAAAACGTACCTGATGAGGCGGGGCTCCGCCAATGGCTCATCCAACGCTGGGAGTTGCAGGCGAACGTGTTGTCACTGCTGCTGATCATCGACGACCTCAACGGCCGCTGCTGCTGCTGCCCTCGCACCGCCTGGCCGAGGGACGCCGATGTGCGACGCGCCAACATGTCGGGTTATGTTACGTACTCTATGTGTCCTTTGGGTTCGGAGATGGTGTGCCCGAGGCGGAAGCGTGGAGCTGATCGGTGGAGAGAGAGAAGAAAAAAGGAACTGGGTTCGTAGGTAGGCAGTTAGTTGAAGCTGCCTGCTGTTGAACTGGTTGGAGAAAAGGTTTGGTTTTGAGGCTCAGGAAACTCTTGATAGATCTGAGTCGAAACAAAAAATCTTCAACAAGCTCCGATATAGGAACATTGGGGGGTAGTGTAGTGACAAGGACAAGCGAAGCGAGAGACAGCTCTTCCGGCGGGAAATTAGAAAAAAAAAAGGCGAGTCTGGGGAAAACCAGCCATGTCTCGTCTCGCCTCGTCCCGTGGGGGGCTAGCCATACATACCTATGTGTTGAGACCTCTTCAGTCACCGCAACTCGTAGATCCCGATGTCCACCTTGCGGAAGCTTTGATAAGAAAGGGTGGAAAAAACGACGGAGCTCGGCGCGAAGCGAGGCGAAATTGGTCAAAAGAGGGGAAGATGGATGAGATGAGATGGGGACGGAGGGTTTGAGAACGTGATGCAGCTCTTCCGGCCAGTGGTAGATCGTGGCAAGGAGCTACAAGTACATAGTGTCACACGGGCGTCCCAGATGATAAAGCACAGTACAGTAGCTTTACTACCTCCCTAGGTAGTTGTGACGCTCCTCTCTGTATTATATCGCTTCGCGCGCACAACTGCCCGATATCCATTCCAATCCAGTGAGTGTGATACAGCATTGCGCAAGGCGGTAGGGCCGGAAATGCCGGTCCCAGACCCTTCTGGACTCGGGACTTGTGCTGCACCCTTATCTCTATTCTCTGACATTATTTGCTCCTATCGTGTAGCTCTGCAGGTTGTGATAATTGCTTTGTGTCTGATGTGCTGACTCTGAGCCTTCTCATTGGTCAATGGCCCAGCTCAAGTTGCAGCACTAGGCCCCTCGGTGAAGCTCACTCACCGAAGTGCTCCTCACAGGTGAGGAGGGGGTGTCAAGCCGGCACTACGTTGACCCGCCTCCCGACAACCTCCGTCCTCCGGAAATTTCCCATCCAGCATCACCGGCACCCATCCCACCAGACAAGCCATCCAATCCGAGTCTCCCCTACGCCTCAATCATCATGGCAAAGAAGGGTAAGGAAGCTTTCCCTGGCGCATTGGTCGTCCAATTCTTCTGATTGTGACAGCAACTGACTCAATTCCCTCTTGCAGCCAAGGCTCGTTTGATGCATGTGCGCCTCATCTCCATGGCCATGACGGGCTTCTTCTACACCTTCAAGCGCCCCAGGACCGCTCCCATGATGAGCATGTTGAAGTATGATCCTATTGGTATGTCTCACTGCAATTGCTCTCTCTGCTGTCTTCTGTGCTGACATGGAGACACAGTCCGCAAGAAGGTCTTGTTCCTCGAGACGAAGAAGAGGAAATGATATCTATTCCGATCCTGCTCCATGATACCCACGATCCGTCGGTTCCGCCTCGAGAGAACTGATCTGCCCAGGTTGGCCAGAGAAGGGGAGAGAGGGAGAAAAGAAAGAAACGCTTTTCCGCCCATCGCGGCCAACACCATTTGTAACACTATACGACAGAGCATTGTTGGAGTTTGGGCCCTTGGATCACCTCGCCTCACGAGATGCGACGTACATGTACATCATAAACCACAATTTCACGTTACACCATGCATGACTGCAATTGATGACATGTCTCTGAAGCACAGAATTTGAGTCCTGAGGTGTCGTGCAGTTTGTATTACGGCTGAAGATATCACTGTAGACTGGCTCTTGATAAGTAGGTACATTTGATGGTCCACATCTTCAGTCTCAGTTGTCTCCGCCTCGAGATTGCCAAAATACTCGGTGTCAGCCTTGCACTGTCCCACCATCACATCTTTGAATGTCATCACCATAACAATCATGCACCGGAGCCGTTGCCTGTTGCCCTGATGATGATGAAGTGGGGACTTCGCCTGCCTCCCCGGATAATCGATGTATAAACATGTTGAAGATCTCATAGCAATAGTAAACCGGCGTGGTTGCCTGGCCCGTAATCATCGATGCATGGCCATGTCGTCGTGTGTCTTCCTCCAGTAAGAATGGCAAAGGCGAAACTGTCGACGATCGATAATGATGATGTGATCCGTAAAACACTCCCATCTCGGTAAGAATGACAAAACCGAAACTGTCGACGATCAATGAGGATGTGGTCTGTGAAACGCTACCATCTCAGCCAGTCGGCCGTTGAACGCACTACTTGCTCGTTTTTCTGAAGTCGCATTCCGTGACGAGACCATTGTGTCGCAGTGGTCTCAATCCCGGGCTGTTTGTGATAATCATGGGTAGAAGGTTGCGCCCGACGCCCTTCACTTCTTGCCCTTGCGGTGTCCCCTTTCCCACTCATCGTACGTAGTGAAGGGTGCCGAAGGCGAGAGTCTCTGGGAGTTTGCAGACGTCTTCGTCACGCCGCCGGAGCGGGCTCGTATAGCCGAACGCAAGCTTTCGGCATTGGCAGCACGCCGTCGTGATCGCTCTTCAGCAACTGATATCGTCGTTCCCGCTGACATCGAGTCTGTTTTGGGATCACCCACAACGGCCCTTCGACCGCGCCGAGGCCCGTCATCTGGTTGACACCATCGAGTTGGATTCTGAGATCCCCGATCACTGTATCCTGCAACTGGCAGTGTGCATCGCGCGTTGCAAGTCCCCCGATCTCTTCAAGGACTCATCGAGCCGGACGCCGAGATCCTCGGGGGCAACCCCTCCTTGCTCAAACTCCCGCCCAAGATTGCCATTGATTGCATCTTGCTGATCAACCATGGACTGAAGCTCAGGCAGAATTCTGGTATGTATTTAGTATATGTGAATGCAGACAACGGCCAGAGAACCACGTACCTTGCAAGGATGTTATCCTTGAATCTGTCGCCTGCTGCCGTCAGATCAGATGGGTTGATTCGATTGTTTGACAGGAACCACAAGATTGCATTGAACCTGCTGGGATGTTAGCAAAGTCAGCAAGCGGTTTGTACAACGTACTTGGAAAGGAAAAGATTCTGTTGATCCTGGAACAGCTGTTCCACTTGGTCGATGTTGACATTCTGTTGGATGCTGGCCCGAAGAGCAGCTACGGTCAGCCTCTCATGGGTGAGTTCGTCTTCTTTGTTTGTCAGATCTGCTCGTAGCTGCGTCAGGTCTGCCTGTAGCCGCTGAATTTCTTCATACTCTATTTTATAAAAATAAAATAAATAAAATATTTATATAATTATTTTTCTTATTTAATAATATTATACTATACTTTAGAATAGTTATAGAGATATAGAAATCAAGTCACAATGCTAAGCCAATAGCAGTCCTATTCGCGGCGTTGACTAACATTGCCACGTTGAGCAGAATGCCTCCATCTCAGTACCTCCTAGGCATGCCTGACTGAATGTCATGCCTCATCGGACTGCCTGGTTTCGTCGTACATTTCGGAAAAGACCAAAAGAGCAGTCATCATGGAGTTGGCAGCCTTTGAAACGCCACTGCCAATGACGACAGATAGCATGCACGAGAAACACCAAGACATGGATCTAAATATGGCTCATGGCGCTTCGCTTGACAGAGTCGAAACGCACAGGCCACCGCTACTTTGCTCCCCTGACGCATCCCAGCCGCCGTCTTCACGGACCCAGCATGAAAGAGTGAAACGCACTTCCAACACCAACGACGATCCCGTTGGCGATGCAACTCTCTGCCCAGGGCTGCAGCCCGGGAATGACCAATCCAGCCGCCCATCACAGAGGAAAACTCTAGAGCCGACAATGTCCCTGCATCAGTCACCCTCTGGCGCGTGACGACCAACAGGCGTCTCCGTCGTGGGAACGCCCTTGCGGAATCTCATTGGACGGACCCCTGACATAGGCGTTGCCGCTCGGCGCTTCGAGGTCGGCACTCACCAATCACAAGCGAACCCACCGTCGGCTGTTGCTATTTCGCAGTTCCAAGTCCTGCACTCGAGTCTCGGCCTTGTCATGGGGATCCAATGATAACTCGCCGTCATGAATCGCAAAGTTGGGAGCGACGTTGACTGTATCATGGGCTGGGCCACTACGCATGTGGGGAGCAGGGAAGCAGAGATATGCGAGATGGATGTAAATACAAGTGGCTGTCCCAGCACGGGGCTTCGTGCGGGAGAAAAAGTTCACTCTATCCATCCCACTTACACGGTCTCGCAGCTGGCTTCGACTCTTCAGGTTCTGTGAACCGTCATTTCAGTGCTCTTCAACAGCCCAGCTCCAGCCATTGGCATCCAAGCCAACGACTTCTGCTCCAAGACACCATGTCGACCACAACTGATCCCTTCCCTCTGGCTTCAGAGAAGCCGTATGGCGACGACAGTGCCCCGGATGTCGATGCTGGTACTGAAGCAGGTGCTTCCGGCGATAGCTCTAGCAACTCTGTCTCCATCTCTCAGGGTGGCATGATCGCCATCATCGTCGTGGTCGTCTTTGTCAGTCTCATTGGAAGTAAGTGGTTCCTGCAGTGCACGTTTCGGGTTTCACGTGCTAACTCTCTACCAGTTTCTACAGCCATTCTCTTCTTCGTCGCCAAGAAGCGTGAATGGAAGGTCAAGGAGACAATCAGGAGATCAGCCCGCAAGGTGGTTGCCGCCATTACACCAAGAAGGTCCGAGTTTCCATCTTCAGTCAAGGACTCACACTCGCTCCGGAATCGTACACGAATCGATGACGACGTCCCCCCAACACCTGGAATTCGGCCCGAGGATCTTGAGAAGGGGCTGGCCAAAGCAGAGGCAAAGCGGAAGGAGAAGGGTTGGGGACGCAAGTGAGGACGAGGAAGAGGGGGGATCTTGTTGCGAGACTGATGCAGTTGGCAACTGCGGTGGTACAAGGTACCAGGTACGAAGGAAGTTGTGTCACTCGTTGGGCAGCACGGGCAGGGAGGGTTGATGGCAGACTTGATGGGGGACGATGGGAGGAGGAACAAGAGTTGCGGTCTCAGGCGTTCTACGGCGGACAGGATCCGGGTATCATCATGTATAACTAGTAACCTCCACGCATGGGCTGTCTGATCTTTGTCTCCGGGAGCGAGCAATAACGCCTTTGCTTTTTTTGATAATGAAATTCCAAGCGCCTTTTTCCCCCACTGCATCTTACATCCGTCTGAACGTGTTGGAACTGGCGCTTCGTCGAGCACCAGATCGCTTCTCCCTGGGTGGGGGTGCGGCCTCCTCCTCCTCTCGCTGCCTCTGTTTCTTCTTTGACTCGGGAACAAATGACACTTGCCGCTCGCCGACCACCTCTCCTCGAGCCTTGTTGATCCGACCCGACTTCTGCTGTCTCGAGCCAAGTGCAGTGTCCCTGACTGTTCTGCCCTGGTTGCTGGTAGACGACACCCGCATTACCACATCGTCCTTTGACTTCTTTGGTGCCCTGATTTCATCCTCTCCCATATCGTCATCACTAGACTCCTCATCAGAGTCCTTGCCCTGATACCGAGTCGGAGCCTTGGGATCGACTGGCTGATCCACCAAGGTGCTGGGGTTGAGAGCTCGGAATTCTCCGCTAGTCTCATCAATGGCAAAGGCTTCATCCTCGAACAGCTTGCTGAATCGGGAATCGCCAAGAATGCCAGCCTTGGTGTCGACTTCTTCTCTGTTCTCCTGCTTCTTGAGAAGCTTGTCCACCAGTCTCTGGTTGACCTTGACCTTCTTGGTGCCCCTGATTCTGCTGGCACGTTCCTTTTCGACCTTCTCCTTGATACGCTTTGTCCTCTCCTCTTCCCAGACGTAGGGGTTGGCGATCAACCTAGCTTGCTCGTACAGCTTAGATGCCACAAAGTATCCATGCATGTATGGCCGGAGCAAGTTGGTCTTTCCAATAAGATGAGACAAGCTTAGCTGCTTGAGCTCGGGCAGCGTCAAGAACTTGTAGTTGTCGTATGTTTCCGTGTGCACCTCTTCTGCCATCTCCTCGACCATGTTGTCCAAGAAAGAGCACCATTTAGGGGCAGGGCCAAGCTGAGGAACGAAGAATGCATGCTGTTGTTTGCCTTCGTTGGCAGTAAGAAGCATACCGGTGTCCTTACACCAGGCGACATCATTGATGTCCACAAGAGGCTCCACGGATGTCCAGGGGTCTCCCGTCGTCTCATCCCAGACCTTGATGATACGCTTATCGGCAGAAAGAATCTTCTTTTCTTGCGAAGCGGTAGTCATATGAATGAGTTTTTGAACAGGGAAGCCATATCCTTGATCCTTCTTCATAAGGGGTACTGGCCGTCGTAGGTCGAAAATTTGCATCATGCCACTGGACGAGCCAGTGATGATGGATAGGCCTGAAGGGCTAAAGTCGAGTGCGGTGACCTCGCCTTCATGGCCTCCGAGTAGAGCAACTCTGGACTTAGACCGCGGATCCCAGAACTCGACAGTTCCTATTGAGGTTCCAAAGGCCATCAGGCTGTGGGTATTTTCTGCGATTGCTGCAGTGTTGACACTGCCAACACCAATACCTCCCTGCAAGCCACCACCCGTCATCTCATCATCGCCACCAACCTCAATTTGGTATGATTTCATGAAACGTCCCAGTTCCAGGTTCATTCGAAAAACTTCGCCCTTGCCATCGGCATCCAGACCAACGGCCGGAACAAGAGCTTCAGTCGATTGCCTATCGTAGACAAGATCGCGACCATATCTAGGAAGACGGACTTCAGTGTGACAGCCCATAGGGGTATGAAACTCGAGACGGCGATCGGTCTGAAGGTGAAGAGATTTCGAGTAGTCGGATGAGAGGAGGACGAAAGAGTGGTTGAGAGAGTTGGTGTGGCGGGCGAAGGACAGCGACAGCTGAGGTAGGTTGTGAACGTGGATTTGAGGCTTGTATGTGCCAGTGCTCATGATCCAATCGCCATCCTCGCTGACCCGGATACAGTTGCTTGCCTCCTCGAACTCGAAATCCTGCAGGAGCTCGACACGGTTCTGGTACTCGGCATCACCCTTCAAACTTCGCTTTCTGCGCCGGGCAAGCCAGTCTGGAAGGGGGCGAGCTGTGGACGCCCCAGAGATTGTGTAGACGGGAACGGTTCCCGGATTGGAAAGCTTCATGGCCGCGAATCGCAAAACGAGTCGTGTACAAAAAGCTTGGTGTTGTAGGTAACTGGCAAGTTTTGCGATTCGCGACGGGAGCGCAGGGTCTCAGAAAAAAATCAAGGTGAAGAAAAACTGCGCCCCACATCCACGGTGAGCTCGGTAGGTTCGGTGAAGATGTCCCCGCTCCTATCCGTGGTCGGCCATTCGAGCTCCGCATATCCCGGCCCTTCGGGATTGGTCCCTACGCCCCTGTATGGTTGAACGCCCAAGCGCTGACGTCCCCTAAGATCCAATCCCCGACCCCCTAAAACATCCCTAGCCAGTCCCCTAGCTAACCTGGTTGAGCCCGGCTGGTCGTTCCGCAAAGTCCCCCCATCCCAGCTGAGGCTCACTGGCCCTGGCCCTCCGCGCGACGGGCAGCCTCCACCGAATTTCCATCTCCGCCATCCTGCGCCTGCGACATCATCAACATCGAGCTGACCGACAAAGCCACATCATCATCAAATCCATTCTCATGCCGATAATACTTCGACCAGTTCTCAAGGCATAGCCTCTCTCTTCTTCAGTATCGGACCCAAAATAGCCACGACGATCGAGCGACTACAGCTCTCCGTGGCGCCATCCCGAGCTGCTCGGCCCAACACTCTCGCTCGTTGAGATGGAGTCCGGGGAGTCTGCTGCTCCAACAACCATCCTTTTCACAACGATATTCAGAGGATCTCTGCGTTAGCCCGTCGGTCGCAATCGTGTAACAAGACCGTGTCCGAGCCTCGAGACGAAACGACTTGCGCCTCGTCGCGGTACGTTGTCGTACCCTGAGCCGCAATTCACGGCTTGCGACTTCGGGGCGGCGAGCAAGTTGCCGAGATGGAGACCGGCGAATATGAAACGAATACCCTGTCGATTGTAGGTTCTGGATGTCCTAGAACTTATAACTTGCTAACTCGAACCTCCGGTAGAATAATATCGCGTCCATTGCCTTTCGCATCTACGAGCCGTCCCCCGACCAATCCCAGAGCTTCCAATCTTCCGCTCTTGAGATCGAGAGCATCCTTCGTGACCAAGGACGACTCGTCTCATACGATACCAATCGACTAGGAATATGGATTTTTCAAATCGTGAGCAAAGATGGCGCAACCGATGCCGTCAGCCCTGTCCCAGGCGCCACCCTCGAAGTTTGCGGATATACGCTTGGAATGGTGGAGGAGGGCACACTCGAGCCTATGGCCCTGCAAAAGAGCCGCATCCCGGGAAACACTACACAAAATCCTGCGGCGAATCCCCCCTCGGCCAACCCTACTACGGACTCGTCTCAACGGAACTCGATGCTCTCGCCGACGCAAGCTATGGGCGGAAACCTGCAAGAAGGAGATGCGCAGTTATCAGCTCAACCTACTGAAACCAAGGCGGCGCAACCTGTGCCAAAGACTATTTACGAGAATTTCATCGTTGCCATTCTTTTTTCAGTATCATTCGCGTTCTGTAGCCGATCGATGGCTGTTCCGCTCAACTATCGAACTGTCTTGATCCCTCCGCCGCTAGGCGACGCGAGTGAGCAAGAAAGGGGCTCTCTGCCAAGCGATCCAGTTATTGGGACATTCAAGACTTATCTCACAACTACTGGCTCCCTCATCATCAGCCTGTACTTTTCATACTGCAGAAGCATAGCATCAGTGGAAGACGCTGTTTCAACGGATCCCATTTCGCCAAGCAGCCCGATCCTTGCTGCCCCCTATGGAGTTTTGGCGACGAAACAAAGTTCAAGCAACGGCGATCACGGCTCAGTGGCTGACCATAGCCTATCTCAAACACCAAATACACAAGCAGTGGCCGTTAGAACAGTTGTGGATGCCCAGGACTCCATTTGGAAGCACTCATGTCTTAGAGCCCTCCAACACTGTGGACTCAACCCTTCCAACTTCAAAGCAGGCTCCTGGATTAATCTGCTGATTTCGAAGCCACCTTCTCCAGACGCGGAAAATGACCCAAAACGGACACGCGCGACAGTGCCTTGGCCAGGGGCTCTTTGCTTTCGGAAAAGGCCGCTGGAGGTTTCCACTACTTGCCGGATAGGAGATACGATGCTGAGTGGACATGAGGAATGCCATGATCCCTTAGGAAATGCTCGAGGATGGTTCAACTCGACGTCAGAAAGGGAAGAGAAGGTCTCAAAACGAAAGGCAGAGCGAGTGCTTGCAATCCCAAGGGAAGTCAACAGTGGCGAAACCCAACCCCAAAGAGTCAACGGGCAATCTCCCCTGACACTCCGACGACCCAGCACAGCGGCTGCTGGGGTCATGTATCCCACGCCTCCTGATGCGATTCAGCAGCATCTCGGCGTGACACCTTCAATAGACGGGACAATATCAAGTCCTGGCAACCCACCTCCAACTGCTGCTGCTGTTGACATCGATACCGCAATGCCAACAGTGACGCCGATGGCCGACCCCGATAACGACGGATGGGATGGGCATCACGAGTCCAAGAGGGATCGAAGTGACAGCAATCTCCTGGGCGAGTCTGAGAATATCTTGAGCGACATGGGCGAAGATGTCTTTGGCGACCACAACATTACAGAGGATGACTTTGACTTTTTCGATCAGCCTGACGGCAACGACCTGGACATCACAATGGGAGACTTGCAGCCAAATCCTATCCCGCCCCCTCCTCAAACTCTGCCCCCTGTGGTAGTCAAGCAGCCGGAGCCTCCAAAGCCCATCGAGGATCATACAGGGCCCAAATCGAAACCCGGGGTTGACGACTCTGTCTTTGCCAAGCCCGAACTGAAACATGCTCGAAGTTCACTAAACGATGATCACCGTGCAAAACCTGAGCGGCCCAACTCTACCAAACGAGGATCAAGCCCCTTTGACCCAGCAACAGTGTTCAAGCGCGTCCGGGCGTCGTTAAGCAGCCCTGTACAAGATTCTCGCAATCCTTCTCCGATCGCTCGCCGGAAGAGCAGTATCTTTGAAAAGGTCGAGTTTGATCCAAAGCTCCCTTTAATTAATAAAAAATACGAGCAAGGTGGTGCCTTTGACTTCTCAAGGGATCAAGAGGCAGAGAGGCTGAAGCGCGACTCCAACACTCTTTCGGATGCCGAGTACTTGGAACGACATGGGAAGTTGAAGCCGAGTTTGAGGAAACTGTCCCTTCCTGCCAGCACTTTCATCAAGGGCTTCACAGGGATGGACGTCTCCAACAACACGAGTCCTACGAGGATAAACGGGAACATGTCGGGTTCCGAAGATAGTGATCTCGAGTCTGATCAAGAGGATTCGAGCTCCATGTCAGGGGGTCCTACTTCACCAGTCAAGTCAAGTGTGAAGCGGGCGGTTGTGGACGACGATGTCCTATCTCAAGCTACATCGACGAAAGAGGCGGAGCTGAGCGAAGAGCCTACTGAGGAGCAACTTGCGATAGAGTTGCCAAGGCTGTCGAAACCGGAATCTCCTGAGTTGTTGCTCTCTCGATTCTTTTCAGAGCCAGAGCCTCTCAATGTTGATATCGGACTCTCAAACCAGGACTTTGTTGAGATTGCACAAATCATTACGGAGCAGGCGGCCACCGGACGCTTAGAGATTGGTATTGACCGTAAACCCGACGCAACGACTGGGTTGACGACAATAAGGGGCCAGGAAGTCAATGTTGCTCGCACTTCCCTGCAACTTCTCCACAGTGTCGTTCCCTCGAGCCTAGGAAGTGCATCGCCAGTTCGGTTGAAGGGACTTCTCGACATTCCAGACCTTCCACTTGTAGGACAGCCAAATCGTCTCCAGCCTAGACCAGCTCCAGGCAGAGATCCCAACTCGGAACAAATGCGGCCCAACAACTTGTACCAGATTCCCGTACCCCATTTGGAGGTTCGTAGGTCAGAGACGAAGTTATCTGTGCTTCCCTCGTCAGTATCATTCTGGGAAAGTCTTGGACTGGCACCCTCGTGGGGCACCAAAGACATTGCCTCACTCTGCATCTTTCCGGGCTGGAAAGGCATGCCGGATCATGTGGGGACGTTCCTCGACCGTCTGAAGAGCGTGTACGAATCTCTAAAGCTTGGAACCTTCAACAAGCTAGCGCTTTCTGGGGAGATGAAAGATGGTGTCTTGCCGTACGAGGTTGATAGGATCTCGACCTCTCCGGATGCCACCATTACAGGCCATGGCTCTGCCCTTGTTGAGAGTATGGAGGTACTTCGAGGTTCCTTGTCAGAGTGGAAGTCCAAGCAAAAGAACCTGGTGATTTACTTTGTCTATTCACCCGACAACCCAGCTTCTATCATCGAAGCATGCACAGCCTTCTACCGCTGCTTTGATGAGTATAGCGATTTGCTCGCAACTCGTCGAGAGACTCCACAGAATGAGTTGGTGTTACAACTTGTGTCTTCGGACTTGATATCATCCACGACATCTCTCGTCATCCCGAGTCCCTCAGAAATGATCAAACTCTGTATGGAAACGTACGATCGGTGTACTTTGTTCCTGGACCCCGAGTTTGGTGGCCCTACACCTGCTCCAGCGATCATGCTCGAGCAGCCTCTGCCTCGCATCATCGATTTCAAGCTCGGAAGCACGCCCTCCCAGTCTCTTATGCATGAGAACTCGTGTCTCCATGTTGGATATGCTGAGAGTCTGGACGGGCGGTGGATTACAGCAGCATGGACCGATAACCGTGGACAACAGCAGGCGACTGCTTCCTACTCCGTCACCAGGACAAGGACCCCTGACCGATCCACAGCTCAACAGAAAGCGGCTATCTTGGTTGAGATCTGGGCAACAACACTGGCTATGATGTCGATCTGGAAGGTCCACTGGCGAGTGGTTGTGACCAAGTCAGGACCCATGGATCAGAGAGAGGTTGAGTGGTGGCAAACAGCTTCCAAGCTGGATGACAAGGCCTCCTTCACCATGGTGTTGATGACGGTAGACACCAACCCATCCCTTCAACTTATACCACCAACAGTCAAGATTCCTCACACAGCAACCTCGGCATTTTACTCGACACCTGTCTCAACACCACAAGCCAGTATCGTCTCGCCGGAGCAAACCACAACACCAGCAACTCCAATGCGTGACAACAACCCCCCAGGTGCTACGCCTGGTGCTGAGAGTGCCGGCGAGATAGATGGCGACTCGTTCCTCATCGACGCCACAGATCAGACTTGGGGGGCTGTTGTCGGACACAGATTGGGCAATTCCACCACTCTGCTCGAGGTTCGACCAGCACTTGTGAGCGGCTACCTTATCAAACGAACCGGAACGAGGATCGAAGACCCGCCGGTGGTGATGGAGGTCAACCTCGTGCATACCGAGGCCACCCCACGGGCGTACGAACCCCTACTTAGAGAGATGCTGTGTTACTTCAGGGGCCTGGGGACGTTGGCCAGGGCGCGAGGCGTCGTGGACCGTGAGATGGATGTGAGACCCTGGCACATTGCGGCGGCCGAGAAAGGCGTGCGAGCGCTGCATCTATTATTATGATTCAATACAGATACAGTACAAGTATAGGCATTGGGAGGCGTCACTCGATCGATAGTTGGCGGGTGGGGGGTGTTTTGTCGGTGTATGGCGTTTCTAGCAAGTAGTTCTGGTGCATACATACAATTGGATAGGTAACTCATCATCATGCAAATAAACCTCGAATATGTCATTTTTACTCGAGTTCCTTGTCTGGCAATGGCAGTGGCGCAAGTTTAAAAGGAGTGTATGTGCATGTATTTGTGAATAAGTATCGTACTCTCGTCGTTGATGTCGTATCCTCAGAACTAATGACCGTAACCTTGAACTTAAACCACCCGCGAACAAAGGGAAAGGGCAAGGGAAAAGCAAAGAGACAGAAAAAAACACGCAATAACATGTTGCAAGATTGTTGGTCAATCTGTCAGTCTCGCAACTGCGGTAACCTCGAAAACGTGTCATGATGATTCAGAGAAGATCAGTCGTGTGGGTGGAAGGGGAAACGGATGTCGGAAAAACATGGTGACTGTTGATTCGCTCGTCGCTCGTCCGTGGAGAGCTTCTGTACTTGATTCGAGACTCGCTCGAGGCTTGAGTGAGGGTGTGTTGGTTAGGTAGGTTAAGACGAGACTCCAGCCCCTGCACATGACAACAACGTCTTGCAACGTCATAGTTAGTGAATGGCCGTAAAACACAAGCCTCGTACGCGCTTGTGGGTCAAACAGGCCCTCGACAAGAAAGCCGGGTCGTGTATTTGCCTCTCGGACAATGGATGTTGTCGAGTGCGCAGGACTTCGCCCTTGCTTCTCGTCAGGTGGGCGAAAGAAAACGTCAAGTAATCACTGGCGCTTATGGCCCGTGTGATCAATATATTCCTCACTTCGAAGATGGTGATATGTCGAACGTGGTTGTTGATGTCGGAACCTAGTGGAACGTATGGGTTGAGGTTAAGTCGGAGGATTTGTGACCCCCCTTGTTTCCTGCCCCCCCTGGACAGTGGATTAATTCAGCTGACTGTTAAACCTCGATGATAAGTTCCTCTGATGGAGGGTGATCGGCGCACCTTACCTTGGCTCTCGAGACCAAAGGGAAGAGGGAGTTCCAGGAAACAATGGGGGTCACAAACCCCCCTACTTAACCTAGTTGCTGAAGGATTGGGAAGCAGGGGCAGTGCCACCGCTTCGTCGCGAGAACAAATTCTCCCACAGTTTTTGGCCCATGATCAACCCGGCGTTGGTACCTGGGTACTGGGGGAGCGGGTAGATGGCGATATTCTCCTTCCTCTTCGGAAACCAAAAAGGACCAGGGCTTCTCATCTCGCTCTTGATTTCGATCTCAACCCAGTAAGCAGGGGCCTGAACCCCATCTTGCGTCCAGCCGTGGCCGTTGTTGCCGGGATAGAATGTCATCAGATCGTTAAGAGAGCAACCAGCTTCCTCTGCAGCTCCTTTGGTGAGGTAACTCAGCTGCATCCGTGGGTTGTAGAAAACGTCGATGGATGCCCATTCTTGGTTCGGTTTCCTGATCTTGACAGACTGAAACTGGACAGAATTCAAGTCAACGGTAGGTTGAGGTTGCTGCACCCAAGTCTGTGGGCTGAACGTATTTGTGTTGTTTGGTGCCTGCATAGAGGGGTGGTTGGTGTAATGCTGGCTTTGGGTGCTCCAATCCCCGGCTGATAGGGAGCTAGGTTGGGCCCAAGTATTGATGGTGCCCGGATCGATGTCGGATGTGCCTTGGTCATATGACGGATAGCCATAGACATTTATATTGTTGGTGTTCATGGTGTGGAAAGTTTCGGGAGTTGGTTGCTGTGCATTGTATCCGGAAGTAGTGTCGAGAGGGAAGAGGTCGAAATCTGGGCTGAAGACTGGTTGACCGTCCGCCTCAGGCGGCCGGTATGCTGCGGTGACACGGTCCCCGGAAAAGCTCACAGACAATGCTGTGGTACTTTCAGTTGTCGAGTATGAGGGTGTATCCAAGTTCTGTGTGCCCCCTGCTGGCTGACTGGGCGAGGCCTGAGCGGATGCAGGTTGCTCTGGTTCGAGCGGCTCCCTGGAATTGAGATACCTTTCCAGCTGTCTAGTGAACTGGGGACGCAATAGTTCTCTCTGTAATTGAGACGTTCTCCTCCGGGCTGGGTTGCGACGCCGAGCCTCCCTCATCTCCTCCTCAGTCGGTTGGGTTGTTATGTGGTTGAGTCAGGCTGAGAGAGGTGAGAATACATGACACCATTAGATAGCTAGTGCAGGTTTGCATTCCTAGGAAGCTGTTTAGAGGGAGCTTTCTTGCCGGTCCCGATAGACGGGGCGACCTTTAAAGCTCAGGCCGGGCGTAGCGAGGGGGGGGAAGAAGTGAAGGAGGAAGCCGATAATTGGACAGGTAAGCTTGGAGATTTATCAATTGACAGCCATCCCCCCTCCCGCAGATTCAAGAGCCTCACTTTCTACCCAGCCCGCTAAACAGCGTCTGTATGTAATTCCCAAAGGGAGAAGACCAGGTAAGGTGGACCAGGCAACCCGGGAGGGTCAGCAACGGTCCTCCTATGCAGGGTTTGAGGGCTCAATTTGAAGCAGCCCGACCATATAATGACAGCTTCGGATACAATGCCCGCAACCCCGAGTGCTTTGGGCCTCCACGTGTTGCGATTTCCTACGCGCTGAGCTCGTCAAAAGCAAGGTTCCAAGGCTGTGAGAGCCTAGTGCTGCATATCGGCACCTCAGAATCACAGGGAGCGGCCGAGAAAACACATATGATAGGCTAATAAACTCGACCGACTTTGTGAATTCCATCTTGCATGCGTTGGTTCGGGGCGCATGACGTCGCGTTGCAGGCTGGGAGGCCGCTGGGATTGCACTTTGAGACCATCACGTACCACACCCAGAATCGAAATGACAATTGGAAGAGCTAGCGGTCGAAGGCAGAAAGATGACGTGGCCCTGTTAAGAATTGACTCGATCATCTCTTTGGAAAGACGAGAAAGTGTGATGATAATCATGGTCATTCGCAACCGGGCCGGCTTGGAAAGCAAGGCGAATAGGAATAAAAATGTGGCGGCATGAGACCCCCTGAAAGACCTTTTTCAGATACACCAATAAGGTGACTACATAAATTCAGCCCTGACGTCCCTTCTTGCACTTCGTTGCCAACCTGACCACGTTCAAAAGGGGTCAACGTCCGGCCGCAATCCCACCCCTGACGCTATCTTTAAACCTCGATGGGACCTCATGGATCGTAAAGCCCTCGGAGAAAAGTCTCTATTCTCGCCGCTTGTCTTCTGTCCAGTGTACCGACACGGGTACGTCTCAATTCCTCTCAGTTGAACTCCAACAGGACAGAGAAGGGGAAAGCAGAAAAGTTAGGCTGATAACATCCGACACAGTTTTACTCGCCATGCAATACTTCAAGGTGCAAATCGATGTCACGGGTCTGTCTATTAAGTCCACCTCGGCCAGGCCTTATAAGGGACAGAGGGATCGCTCTCTCAACAAATCCACGTCACTCCAGGCCACAGCCCTATTCTGGAACCAGTCCGACAGAGGATACATCGCAATTGCCTTTGTAGAGAAGGCCATCGGGTCTCTGGCTCCTCATGAGCATTATGGCATCCATCTCATGGCTGAGCTTACTTGGAGTTTGGCCATCTTCGACAATGGCACCGAGACAAGTAACTTGCGAGTCGTATCTGAGTTGGATCACGATGTCGTCTTTGGGCGAGGGGCGGGTTGCGGCGATGAGAGCGCTCTCCTAGCCAACTCGTCCAACCATCTAAATGCCTCCTGGGAGGCATGGCTTGGGATCGCTGCTGTTTTCGAGCATCTCATAAGGCTAGAAGATTCAGAGCTCAGCAGGAAGTTAGCAGACGGCCCCTTTGTCAAATCCTTTGCCTTGAGTTGTGGTTTTATCTTCCAAGGGGAAGAGTCTGTCGAGGCATGCGCCAGCCTACTCCGTCAACGTATTGAAGACATCAAACATGACCGTCAATCAAAGCTCGACGATTCTCCCCTTAACACCTGTACTGCACCAATCGTCCCTCAGCTAAAGCTCGGCAATCCTCTCCTTACCTCTAGGACTGCAACCCCAGTCTCGACACCACCATCCGAGGAAACTGAAAGTTCAGTCAGCAACTCTGAGTTCGACAAAGATGAACTGGTATACGAGATGTCTACGGCGCCGAGCGAGATAACGTTGGAGCGACACTTGCACCAGCTGCCGTCTTTCCTACAAAGAAACAGCCGTGCTCACACTGAATGTATTCACAACACACCAATTCAAGCCGCTCAGGTGGCACGGGGTGTCTCGCCAAATGACTCTCTTGGCAGCTGGCAACTTGTCGAAAATGCGCCCCTGGTAGCGACAGCAGAGGACGGTGGCCCTTCGCAGGCCTACCAGGCAGAAACGAAAGAGCAGGAAGACCTTTTGCTTGATCAAAGCCAGACTTCCGACTTTGACATGCATCCGGGCCATAAAGACTGGGAGTGGGTTACAGATAGACAGCGATGGAAGCGACGCGGACGGAGCGGGCAGGAAGAAATTGACTGGTTCCCTGAGTCTTTCGCCTAACTCTCTCTTGATGGAGTCTCGCTCATGTTGATCAATCAGAATGCACGAGTTACTACCCTGGCAAAAAACGGTGAGTTCGGAGGTTGATCGATTACTGTCATTAACTTGGTACGTTCACACCTCCAGTTTCCTATCCAGTTTCCTACCAACACTGATTAATAATGTAAGGCTCTTATTATAGACGCAATATGCGCCTTTCTTCGGCTCGAATTAGTTCACTTCCTTCCACTCATTCCATCTTGGCAAGATAGTTTAAAGTTTGTATCAGTTAAGACGGATGGTTACCGCAGGAATCAATCAACAGTGTCTATTCGTATGCATCTATCGGAACGTGATACCCAAGTAAGCTAGACCCGCTATGACGCCCTCTGTTTTTAGCAACACTACCTTGCCTCCCGCTTATGTTGTCCATCCATGGCAAACCAATATTTTATGACTCACATCTAGAGTCATATCCTCATTCAAGAGTCGTTGTAGCCTACGAGGCTGAACAAGTCTAGGACTGGGTGGTTGATAAAAGAAAAGGGTTGCCTGAGTCAGAAAGAAAAGAAAAAAAAGTTCCTTCATCCACAACTAGACCGACTATTTTTCACGAAACAATGCTCCGAGAGCAATACAACAAATCAACAAAGATACAGCCATGGAAAAAAAGTCTTTGGTGAGCCTTCCAGATGATCTCATCCTCGACATTGTCGAATACCTCGACACGACCCGCGACGTCGCCCACGTCGGGGCCTTGAGCCGCCGCACGCAGGGTCTCATCCACCAGGACGGATGGCGCACCTTTGTCAAGACCCGGTTCCCGTCTCTAGACGTACCTACTGGTCTGGGCACCACGTGGGGCTCACTCGCTGATCGCGCCACGTACTTGGACAAGTGCTGGGAGAAGCGCGGCTTTTGGATGAATGTGCTTTATGAGAAGAAGCAGCAGCCGGGAAGATTTCAGCGAAGGGTCAGTGGGAGCCAGTCTGTGCTTTTTCACTCTGTACTCGATGCTCGTCTTTCGTCGTCACACGCGGAGGAGATTGTTGCTGCGGGTGTGGGTGAGAACCTCTTGGTACGGGTGAAGCCGGTGGATAAGCGACAGCCAGATGTGTGGCATCAGCTTCAGGGGCAGGCCCTTGACTACCGAGCTGGAACCGGTGATGTTACGGCAGTTTCAGTGATAGAAGATGAGGAAACTGCAGGTGTCGTGGTTGGGAGAGCCAACGGGGATATCCAAGTTCTCTCAGCCAAGGACAACTTTACAACTCCTCTGAGAAACCTCAAGCCAGCAGACGACACCCTCCTCAACCATGCGTCTGATCCTATGAGGAAATCTCCAGGACAACTCGCAGTATCTTCTCTACAATGGCACCCTCAAAGCAACCTCCTGGCGAGTGGCAAAGGCTCAGTTCTCACCATTCACGACCTCAACACTTCAGAAACAAGCCCCGTGGCGTACCACGACTTTTCCCAAGCAAGTCCCAACGACGAGGCATCACTTTTACGCAGCGCCAAATTCATGAGCAAGGACGTTGTAGCCTGCGCTCTAGGGGGTAGTCGAAATCCTCTCCGCTGGGGACAGCTCACCCCGACGGGGATACAGTTTAGCAACGCTGCCAGCAACCCAAGGCCGCTCGATGATGCAGCTGCTCTCACAGAGGTGCGACTAGGTGAAAAGACGACCATCCGGGCTATTGAACCTGTCAAGGGTGGAGGCAACGAGAATCTGCTGTTGAGTGCGTGGGATGACGGTACATATAGGTGAGGATATTCTATGATATACACCTCGAATCGAGTTGCTAACCCCTGGTCAGACTGTTTGATATACGCACACCCTCGGCACAAGACGCCGTCTACCGAGACCGTTTCCAGCCCTACGAGGCCGGCAGCTCCCTCCTCGTCTACGGCACAGAGCGTTTCGTCGCCGGCAGCAACACGGCTCCAGACATTCGTCTCTTTGACTTTCGGTATCCCAAGCCGTACCACCACACAACGGCTCTCCCGTGTTCGGCTCAGTGGCCTTTTCCCAGCCAAAAAGATGACCACAAGATGTGGAGGTCGGGTTGGGCTCCAGAATGCGAGCAGTGCCGTCCTGCAGACGGAACGGCGTGTCCGTGGCATGGTCTATCGAGGCGTAACTATTGGAGACCTGATGCCACACTCCACATCGGAAGTCCAACATTAGACAGAATCTACTGCCTAGCCAAGGCATCAGATCTATCAGAAACAGTCTACTGCGGCCTCCGCGGTGCCATCCTCGAGATGAACCTCCATCTCACCTCAGACACAGCCTACGAACAAGGACCTCGCACAACACCAGCAGGTTGGCGAATGGGAAGACCAGGCGGTAAAATTTCCCTGATTGAAACGGGTGTGAGCCTCTGTCAGGCAAAGGAGTGGTCTCTCGACAGCCGCGGCGTTCCAGAGCTGATCGTCCAGCGACCGCAGCCTCAAGCACAACAGACGGGATCGCCGGATCAGATGAAGCGGCATAGACTTGACTCGGCGTTTCATAGACTACAGGATTTCCAACAAGCACAGGGATGAGATGTACGAAGTGAAAAGGGGATTCGATACACAAGGGAACTGGTTCATTCGGAAAGGAACGGAGTTGGGCGGGAGTCTTTTGTGCATAGATTCTTAGATCAAAAAGAGTTGCGGCAAACTCTATAGCGCGCTTATAGATGCGTCTAAAACAACATGAACAGTTCTAAAATAAATCATACAAAGACCATCTCTCTCTCTAGCTCTAGCTCTAGCTCTTGCTCTATAGCTTTGACTCTGGCACAATCAGCGAGAGTCTCTCTTTCAGTGTAGTCTCTGCCTCCTTCTCGATCCTGCTAACAAGCTCATCACAGGTAGGAATGTCGTGAATCAACCCGATGACCTGTCCTGTGGTCCAAACCTAGAAATCATGTCAGTAACTGTTACTTTGCTTTCAAAAGAACAAAACTTACTCCGTGCTCTGTATCTCCGTTGATAAACACCTCCTTGCCTCTCTTACCGCTCACATACGGCGCAACCTCTGAAAACTCTCCCGTGGTGCTCTCCCGCTCAATCTTGAGCGCATCCTCAGCGACCTTGTTCTTGTACAGACGGCTCGTATTCTTCCACCGTCGCAGCAGAAGCGTCGTGTCAGTCTCTTGCGCTCGCACAATCTCCTCCTTGACTTTAATATGGATAGGCGCTTCCTGGGTACACATGAAGCGCGTACCCATGTTGACACCGCTCGCGCCGAGGACAAGCGCAGCAGCAAGACCTTGACCATCTGCGAAGCCGCCGCTGGCGATGAATGGCACCTTGAGGGTCTGACGCGCCTTGCTCAGGAGGATAAAGTTTGTAATGTCGCTCTCGCCGACGTGGCCAGCGCATTCAAAACCGTCAATGCTCAAAAAGTCGACTCCGAGCTTGACGGCGCTCTGAGCGTGGCGAATGGTGGTACACTTATGCAGAACGGTGACGCCGGCCTTTTTGAGCTGCGAGATGACGGGACCGGGAGAATTGCCGGCTGTCTCGACAATGTTGATGCCCTCGTCGATGATGGCCTGGGCGTAGGCTCCGTAATCAGGAGGAACCATGGCGGGCAGGAGGGTGATGTTGACGCCAAAGGGTTTGCCTGTGAGGGTGCGGCAGCGACGGATCTCGTCGCGGAGGGCGGCTGGCGTGGGAAAGATGAGGGCCGTGATGATGCCCAGGCCGCCGGCGTTGGACACGGCAGAGGCCAGGTCTGCCGTGCCTACGTGCATCATGCCGCCCTGGACGACGGGCACTGATGAGCGTTAGTAACAGATGTCATGGTGTTTCAGCATGATACGAACCTCTAATGCCCAGGCGGCGGGTAAGTTCAGTCGCAAACGGCATGGCGGAAGATCTAGTATGACGTTGCAATAAAAGACAAGAGATAAAAAATCGCAGAAAGAGAAATCTACAAATCAAATCTATACCAACAGGAGGAGATGTATGATTAATACATAAAATAAAAAAAAAGGCCGAGGCTGATGTTTCCAGAAAACAACCTCGACACCTCGGGATGCCGAGGCACAGGAACACAAGTCTCCGCTTATCATCAACTTGTCACTTGTCAACTTCGCCCTCCACTCTCGGCTCTTGTTCCCCCTTCCCCTCCCCACATTCGGCGCTCACATGCTTCTCCATCTTGGCTTGCATTCTCCGTCTCCGTGCGTTGTGTTCCTTTGTGGGGAGATGGAGACGCGGATCCATCCCCCCGGCGTGCACGTACCAGCACCATCAACTTCGTCACATGATGGACTCTAACAACACTTCTCCTATTATACTCATACTCTACCGACTTGGCAGTGTCTTGCCAAACAAAACTACGTCAACTGACACCATTTTCACGTCGTGTCACGAGTACAAGTCTTACACCACGTATCTAGGTCCATACTTGGTCTCACGTCAACCATCAAGTCCAGTTTAAACACATAAATATCAACTGTTTCTTGTTGTCTCCCAAATACCCTACCCATTTCATCCACAGAGCACACAAAACCATTCCCTGCCTCATCATATTGATTCGTCATCAAGTGACTCGAACCTTGTCCGTCCAAAACGCCTAGTGTACACGATAATCCCATGTCATAAGCCATCATGACCTCAAATCAGAAATAAACCCGCCCAAATTTTGCTGTGAGCCTCGACAGGTGTCTTCACCGCACCTGTCATCATTGCTCCCTTGAGCCAGACGCCAAGAAATTCCAAGGGTATTCATCCCAGCAGCCCTGCCGTCCTCAGCGAAACTGCACACGGGTAGCCTCAGTACTGATTGGTTCAGCCGTTCAAACCGGAGGAGTTCTCTCTCGCGGCTTGTCAATCAAGTCCGCGTAAGCGTCAAGACTTGATCCCATAACCTTGACAATTTCAAAGATGTGCGTTCCTTTAAACGTCTCAGCCCAGAGCCGAACCACCGCGCTGGCGAGCTGTCGAAGTTTGGCGCTATCGCTCGTTGCCGTGTCGTTCGGTCCGTGTCCCGAGTTGGGTCCCGCTAGCGAAGGGTCGATCGGAACCGCAAATTCCGTCTCATCCAGCATCCGCCGTACCATCTCCAGGAGGTTCTTTTCCTCTGGCGATGCTGTAGCGTCGTTGGGCCCAATCGCCGCAATGGTCAGGAGCCACTTGGCTACCAGAATAGCACATTCAAAGTTGCAAACTGTCAAACATTAGTTAGCAAGCTGATGAAATAAGAGGCGCATTGATGTCATGACTCACGTGAGTGTTGAATGCTCCATTCGGCCGACTTTGTCCTGGCCACATAGTTGACGCCCGCCTTTACCAACATGGACAGCGCATGGATCGCTTGGAACACTGCCCGGTGCAGTCTTAGACTTCGGACTAGCAAGGGGGTCCTGCTCAGGGCCGACGCCACCAAAAGCGGATCCCGGGTCTCGAGCGCCGTAGACGGAGTTACATCAGTATACAGCCGGATGTACGCTTGTCGGAGCAATGCCGTCGCCGTGAAATCCAGTGTTCCGCCCTCGATCGAGTCCGATACGCTGTAGTGACCCGACTCGGCTGCCCTGAGCTGATGTTGGTCCTCAAAACTGGTCTGCCACACCCGAAGAGCCTGCGACACCTCCTCAACATCCTGGGGCTTCATCGTTCGGTGAATGTTGTACGGAAGACCAGTCGCAAACGATGTCTGCTTCAACAGATAGATGTGTTGGATCAGTGCATGAATCAGAACATAGCTTCCGAATGATGACAAGTGCTGTGGGAGCCCTTGGTTCGTCCGTCCAAAGAGTCGCGAAAAGGCGTCGTGCAAGGTGAGCTCGATCATAGGCGTCGACTGGCGCATTTCTTGCCATTGCCAGGCTGACTCCGCCCTCCAGAGTTTACCCCGTTGCGGCAATAGGAGGTTCAACTCTGATGTTAGCAGCAGTGGCGGCATGTTGTAAGCGATACTGCAGAGGTTGAAGAAACAGTAAGCAACCAGCTTTGTCCGTGTGGCAGTTTCAAGTCGAATCCAAGTCTCCCAGTCATTGACAGCACTCTGATTTACTTCGGCCACAAGTCCTTCTTCCCGAATCAAGATGGCCAAGTTGCTCTGCAACGACAATGCTTCATGAAGAATCGTCGGTACGCCCCAAAGGCCGACGGCGAAGAGGAGCAAGACTGCTTGAATTGTCTCGATTCTTGCCTGGGGGGTGTTGGGAGAACTGCACAGAATGGTTAGAATAAATCGCTTGCTCAGCACACAAATCACTTACTAAGGCTCTCGATGCGTATCCTGGGTTGCCGGACGCTCTGACTGGGCAGATGCAAACGAATGGCGGTATGTGGCACTAGGCGAAGGTCTAGTAGAATGAGGACTGTAAGCCGCTGCGGTTGGCAACAAGGCGTGAACCTCGGAGATGCGCCTCCGTCGAATCTGTTCCATTGCTACCGACTTGGCGGCATACCACAGTGCATAGCCTCGGTTCTTCTCAAAGCGGTATTGTGCTCCCACGGCTAAAATAGCAAGAAGCAACTCGGGAGCAGCTTCGGCGGGAGAGAACGTGGGAAGATGCAAGAAGGGCAAGTGTTCGTGAAGACCACTAATGTAGCCCTCGAGGAATCTCGTCAAAGTATGCCGAGATGGGAACACAAAGTCATTCGGGAGAACGGCAGAGAACTCATCCAGTCTGTTCTTGATCACGGTATGATCGGCGACAGAAATGCGTAGCGCTGATGCTCGAGCCGAATCATCAAGTCCTCGGGCAGGGTCCGCTGAGTCTCGCGCGTCGGCCGGCATGTTCGGAAAGCGTCCTGGGAACAGTGCAGACTTGGATGATCGACGCTGAGCTGCGCCTCCTTGACTTCGGGACCACATCATCTGCTGCTCGGCTTCGAAATTGGGAGGGAGGAAATGCGAAGAAGAAGCGAACTCGTCTAGGAAAGGGTTATAGTCGTCATAGGAGCCATTGGGAGGCTGTTGGGGCACATAGCCAGATCCTAGAGGTTGGTCTTCTCGAGGTCGATCAGTCGTATATGCCACGATAGTGTCGCCATAGCTGCTTTTTCTTCGAGCATCTGGGGAATGTGGTGGAGGTACTCCATTGGTCGGTCCCTGGACGGCGTTGCCTGAGCTTGCGAGGGCGGCGTCGGACAAGAGATCGAGATTGCATGCTCCGGGTCTGGCCTGTGCGCGAGGATCTTGGGGTCCCTGAGGAGGCCCCTGGGGAGGAACTGGTCCATGGTGGAATTGCTGTGGTTGAGGCAACGGCTGTTGAGGTGGTGCAGGTCGCGCTGCGTTGTGATGCTGTAAAGCTATGGCCTCGGCGCTGATCTGACCTTCAGATACAGAGCTCTTGTGAGATGCAGTGGAAGTATTGGATGACAACTTCCTGGGACGGTTATTATCCTTGCTACCTTCATTGAGGTGCACGAGCTTCTCGTGTCTGACGAGAAGATCCCTGATGTCCATGTAAGCATATGTGTAGAAGACTTGGGCGATGATCAGGAGTAAAGCGTAGTTAGGATGAGACATGAACAACAACAGAAAGAGAAAGAGAATGAGCAGGGGGACAACGTTAGGTAATTGTGTGATAAGTGATGAGTGAGTGGCCAGGTGGGACGGGCTGAGGAACGGTGGGATATAGCGGAACTAGAGCATAGCATAACGTACCTTCGTCCGAAGGTCTTTCCGCAGCGATCCCAACCACATGAAAATGGCTTCTCCTTGGTGTGAGTACGTTCATGTCGTTGGACATGCTCAACGCGTCTGCATCCCGAGACATGGTCAGCATATCCAACATTCAGATAAGGATCTCGTTCGCATAGTAACTGACCTGAACCGCTTGCTGCAGTACTTGCAAGGTAGCGTCTTGGGCTTTGGCTGGCGAACTTCGGTGGGCTCTGGAGCGACGAGAGGCGCCGGGGGACCAGGAAGGGCACGAGGAGGAGGAGGTCCCTCCATAGACTGAATGGCAAGCATGGTGAACGCGGTTGCTGAGAAGGCAAGGCCTCAGAGCATTCGGGTCGTTCACGTAATTCAAGATATCAAATTGTGGGGAGAAGAGTTGAGGAGAAATGGAAGAGATGGAAGAGAGGGAAAAGGCGAGACAGATTTGGAGCTGGGGAGATGCAGGCAAAGATGGCGGATTGCGGGGTGCGTTAAGGGCAGAGCATGGCATGTGGAGAGAAATAGACGGTGGCCCGTGAACGCGAGAAGGAGGGATAGGGATGGGATGTCTTCCGCCGACGGGGGAGCGTCGGATCGGGGGTTACGGGGGGGCAGACAGAGAGAGGGAGGAGGGCACGGCCGCCCAAGGTACAAGACTGGAGGTACTGTAGAGATAATGGATGGGCACAGGCAAGCCTCAAAACACCCCTTAGCGCTTCCCCTCTCCTGTGCTATTTCGGCTGTTCCCCCTCTTGGGCCGCGAGGTACAGGAGGTGTGTACCCCCAGACGTGGTTGACTCTGGCGGTGGTGACGGAGGTGGAGGAACTGAATCTAGCGGGCGAGTGTTCGGCTGATGACTCCGAGCTGCCAGCGCTTTGTCGGTGTTGTTTCCGAGTTATCAGACGCTCCAGCTATGGCTGTTTCGTATCCTAAAGATAAAAGGCCACGGTGTTTCTGACGCCGTCGAGGTCGATATAGGTGAGTGTTGAGAGGCGGTAGGCTCAGGCAAATGTGTGGATGTGGATGTGGATGAAAGAGGGGAGAGACCCAGAGGAACAGAAAAGATTTGAGAGGGACACAAGGCGAATGCAAGGCCAGCAGGGGACCCTCTCTCCACGTCCACGGAGGAAATGGAGAAGCAAGCGAAGTGGATGGGCGTGTCAAGGTTTGCAATCCAGGTCTCGGTTTAGCACCCGACGAACTGGCTCAGGATCGGGCTAGATGGAGAGGAGGTGGATGTATGATGAGATGAATGGGATGGAACCCGGGGAAAAGAACCTGGGGATTCGTGAAAACCTGGGGCGAGCAAGGAGGCTTCTGGGAACTGGAACTGGAATCTCGGGGTGGCAGAAGCCGAGTGAGAGTTGACGAGAGGAGAGCCAGAGCCGGGTCAATGACTGGCTACCTAGGTGCTGCTGCTAGGAGAATGTCTCTCCTCGCCAAGTTCACGGTAAAGGTAGTGGGCGGTGGTGTATACCGAGTGAGCTGAGTGACGAGTAAGATGGCTTGCCACGTCGGTGCGCCCAGCGTCTGGAGGGACCAAGTTCCTTTCCGCGGTACGGGGGCGTCTGTCAAGAGGTCAAAGAGGGGAAGAGAGGAGACAAGATGGGAGCTCGAGATAAGTTCCTAAGCAGGAATGGTGTGGCAAGGTACAAGAGTCGTACCGTCAGAACTGTGCACTGTAAGAGAGGTGTCGAGGATGGAGTTTGCTGCCGAGTTAGGCAAGGTATGACGGCGTAGCGCGGGCGCAAGGGCCAGGGCGGGGAAATTGGAGGTGGAAGGAGGGACGAGACCCCCAAGGTACATGCACATCCGCCTTCTCCGGGGGTAAGGCGGCGTAGCGGTATCTAGCGGTTCAAGTATCCGTAAGGCGAGATTGAGTCGGCAGACGGTGGAGGCGGCTACTTGAGGAGGAAGTATGTACGTAAATGAATGCTTGGTCAAGAGGTGCGCACGAGATAATTATTAACTAATTAATTCCCGTCGTAAAAAAGAAAGTGTGGAGAGGGAATAACTAACCAAGAGTGTGAGTGGGCGAATGCATCAATCTGGGGGAATGCGTCTCCAAGGAGCCACTGGATCTGCGTGAAAGACAGCCACAAAAAGGTGTGGAGGGACAAAGGGACAGGAGGAAAAAGAAACGTGAGCATGAAGGATTCCCCAGTGGACGGCAATCGTTGCTCCATAGGCGCGGCAAGCAGAGGAGATATCAGATCAGCTATCAAAAGTAAAGAAACAGCATGTGCAAATCTGACAGAGCTACTACGTGGTAGATACAGCCATGCCGTTCCGCCGCGGAGATGACGGAGTGCAGAAGAGTTGGCCGGAGAATCTCTGGACTGCGCCCTACGCCAGCGAGTTGACAACCTACGTACTGTACCTTGGCTACCTGAACCTCGAGGCAACGTAAGTAAAACGGCAGAGCCAAGCTTGTGGCGGAGTCAAGGGCTTGTCTCTGGGTCTAGGTCTAGGCCGCCGGGGGGTTTGGGGGTGTGCTCACACTGGAGCTCAAAAACATCCCGGGGCGAAAGCCGCGGAGGCGGAGGCACATGCAACGACAAGAAATCTGGGCAGTCCTGGGCAGACCTGGGCATGTGTCGATTCGTGCATCTTTGGCAGCCACAGCACGCAGGGGGATGGTACGAAGTCGAGGTTTCCAAGGCAAAGAAGCAAAGAAGGATGGTAAAACAGCTGATGATTCGTGGCAACCATTCCAGCTGCAGAGCTGCACTGTAGCTGTAGCTGTAGTTGTTGTTATCTGAACCTACGGCGGGATTTGTAACAGTCGCCGGCCCGACGTCCGTTCCTTGGTGTTGTCTAGGGCCGCTCTTGCCGTTTTACCCTTCCCCAGCGTGTGTGTCCCCCCATCTAGCATAGGCACAGCACAGCACAGCACAGCGAGCACTGCAGGGCAGGTCAAGCAAGGTGAGAGAGAAGTACCTCGATTGTACCGAAAATGCCCCCATGGGGCAAGTGCATCTGGGGTTGAATCTCCGCATTCTAGTTTGGAGACTTTGTCCAAAATGTCCCACTTGGCCTTCTGGGTCCCCCCATGCAAGCAGGATTTTTTTACGTGTCCCTGTCGCGACCCCGGCCAATGAGACACTTGGCAATAGGCCCATCGTCAGGCTACCTGGTTACGGCAGGTAAGGTACTTGCCTACTTACCTTCTCACTTACCGACAATGGCAGTCGCCTTACCCTGCCTTTTCTGGAGTATAGGCGAAAAACCAGCCGTCTCTGGTCGGTCTCTCCAGCCAGCTCAGTGCCCTGAGCTCTGAGCTTTTCCCCTGGACCTGGACGCCATGACGATGTTCCCAGCTCTTTCCTAAGCTTAGTCTTCCCGTCCAACCGCGCTCACCTTCCATTCCCACTTTATTTTTTCACTCTTGCTAAAGAGCCATCCATCTTGTCACCACACCATGGCGAATCCATCCATCATGGCTTCTCCTCTTCTTAACTTCTAGTCCAACCCAGGGAAGGGAATTACTTAGTAATTAGTAATAGTAATAAAAAATAATAATTACTAACCCTACTTTTTTTAGTAATAATAATAATAATAATTAGTGGTAGAATTTTTAAGTAATTAGTAATTATTAATTTAATAATACTTAGTAATTATTATATTATTAAACTAATAATAGATATTTATATATTTTTAAAAAATTAAATAAAAATTAAATAAAAATTAATAATAATAGTTTTTTTAATATTTTTAAAATTAAATAATATAAAAACTTATAAAATTTACTTAGGCTTATTAATATATTTTTTTTATTTTTTTTAAAATAAATTTTTATTTTTTAGCTTTTTAAATTAAAAATAAATTTCTTAAATATTAATATTTCTTACCTTAATTTAAGTAAATAAAATCTTTAAAAAATATTTATATATTATATATATAATTAATAATTTTTATTTATTATATATATATATATTTATTAATTTATTAGCTATTTTTTAAAAAATTATTAATATCTTATTATTAAAATTAATAATTAGTATTATTATACTATTATTTAGTAGTAAAAATAGTAATTAATATTAGAAAAAAAAATTAGTAATTACTATCCCTATTTTTCCCTTCCCTGGTCTAACCTAACCTATCTGCTTCAAATCATCCAATCTCGTTCAAATCCGATCCGTCATCCAGCCCTAGGCCAAACCCCAGATTCTGCATGCATCAGCCATCTGTTACAGCGCCTAGCAAGACGGTCCCCTTTGATTGCTTCTCCTGACCAAGACGCTGCATCGTCTCGTCCAACCTCATGATCCTAGGTATGCACTTGATGACTGGCGTCAAGCCATGGCATCTTCGTTTCCTGATCGTCGTCGTCTTCCTTGCATTATCGTCTCTCTTATTCAACCCCCTGCTTCACATACACTTGGACAAGTGAAACTGTTTGCAACCTCATCCTCCCGTGCAGCTTAAACATCAACAACTTTCACAACTTCCCTGCCCAATCACGCCAAGTTCCATTCCCTCCCCACAGCCGCTCTTTGCGCCGTTGCCTCGAGACTTTGCCGCCATGTGGATGCCCGGAAGATGGGAATGCAAGCCGCTTTTCGCTGAGAGTGAGTGGAAAGCGGGGGTGAGTCCGATGCGGAGCAAAGGAGCATGAGCAAAGCAACGCCATGGACATGGACTAGCCCGTCAACGATGGATGCAGTATGAAAAGACACAAGGGTCAAGGGAAACGAAGACGGTCTGAGGGCAAGACACTCATGTTGGCACTTTCGTCAAGTAAACACATTGAGAATCATCGTCATGAGGACCAAGGAGAGAGAAAGACTCAAGGTAGACACTCTACAACGTCAACCTCCCATGTTTCCCCCTTTCAGCGGTCAGAACTCAGGAGGATATCTGAGGCAGCTGGGGTATCAAGGGATGGGCCAAGATCTCTCGTCCCCCCCAAGATGATGACAATTTGCTTTGTCGGTGTCCGATACAGGCAGACAGGCCATGCTCGCATCCGGCCAGAAGGCAAACACCTTGAGCGACAAGTACAAGACAAGACTCCAGCTCCTCCATATGCTCGCCTCTGTCTCTGCCTCCACCTGCGCCTGCGCCCTCCCTCGCCTCCACGCAACTGCAACACCACCACTAGAAACGGCGGCAGTCAGCCTCCACGCCAAGGTCCAGGGTCCCTGTCAACGGCCGCCTTCTGATGCTTGCCTTTATGTTGGGGGCCTCTTGTAGCGACTTTGTTGAATCAACGACGTAGTCCAGACAGAGGTTGCCAGGCTCCAGACAGCCTCGTTTAGTCGGGCACGGCTACAGGCGCAGTGTGGACGGCTCTTGTCTGGCGTACAGTACCGAGTGGTCGAATGTTTACCCATCTCAATCTGGTCTCAGTTCGGCGAGCCATGGCCATGGAGTTTTAGGTTCGTCCAGGGTTCGCTTAAGACATCTCATGGAGGCAAAACCTTCCGGATTCAACAGAAGTGGGAAATAAAAGTGTTCGCTGACGGACGGGCCAGGCGAGCGCAGTGACCCTTGTCAAGCGGTTGTCCATGGTTGTCCATGGTTGTGGAGGTGCGGAGACCCCCATGGTCGGTGCGTGTGGGGTAGATTTTGGATCTGGCCCCCGGACTGGTCTTGCAGGCATCTCGGGCTCAACCATGAGTCTCTGCATCGTATGAGCTCATCGTCTCCTCGCCGGCGGGCATGGCGCGCGAGGAGACGATGCAGCGAGGGTGCGAGCGTTCTATCCTCTTGGGACCCTAATGCGGTCCTGCCCTGCACCAAACATGGCCACTGAAGATGATGGTGACAAGGGCCATCCTCCATGGACGGCACCACTAGCACGGCTGAAGCTCTACCTGCCCCGCGTTCCAGGTGCAAGGCTTCATCTCCCCATGGGGTCGTCCTCAGTGTAAGCCGAGCCCACCCCTCTCTCTCATGCCGGAATGGAGCCGACGGATAGGCACTGTTCTCGGGGCAATTCTTCTGGTCATGAATACACGGGTTACCAGAATGACTCGCTTATCCCGCAACAAACACCCGCCGTGTAACAATTTCCCCCAACGACTTCACTTCCGAGCGTCCAACCACCGGCTTCGTCTCCGGTCCGTTATTATCACGTCAATGCACGTGTCCTGCGATCAAGAGGTTGCTGGCTTGCTCAAGGTTTCAAGCTCCACGTCTTCAAATCTGGGGTCCCCAGATGATTCCGACGAGATGACATCCGATCCCGGGGTAATTGGGATGTGGGGGGGTTGAGTTGGCATCCCCAGATTGCCCCGGTTGTCAAATCGTCTCACCGTTGTTGTTGAGGTTGTGCCGGAGGGGTTGTTCGTCAAAGGCTCGGGATCTCGGTTTGTTGTCCGGGACATGATAGACTATCTACCTCGGCCACCATGCCACTTGTGCCGCATTCAGCCAGGGCCAAAGCACAGGACGGAATCAACTCGATGGTCAGTCAGATCTTTCGGTTGCTGACCTATCATTGGCAATCCGACGGGGAGACCTGGCGGCTGAGAGGGGGCAGGGCTACTGTATAGGCCAGGCCAGCTTGATCTCACATTAACGGTACATGTGTATTACCTATCGCTGAAGCACATGCGGGCTCTCAAGGGCCAGCATCAGCAGGGGGAATCAGCATCGAGGTCGCGAATCAGATCCCCTCGAGCATTCTCGGCTGCCTCATTCGCCCGAGACGAGACCCGTTGCGGGAGTTGTACCGCACCCCTCTCGGCACCAATCTTTATGCCCAGACCCGCCATTTTGTTCAGGCACCAAGCCAGATATGACATCAAAACGTTTCCCTCTTGTCCTCCTTGGGTCTTGGGCCTTGGACATTGGACATTGGGGGTCTCAACCCTGAAGCGAGAAACCAACCTGACCGCTCTCGCTGCCCAGGCGGACCAGGCGTTGTCTCATGCCCTCTGCCCTCCGCCTCTGGGCGTCCTCGAGCGGCCCAAAGGCACACTTGTCGACCCAGCTGCCAACCCCGTGCTGCAAGACGTTTCTCGCCCGCAGAGTGCTGCCCTGTACATGTCCCACGGAACCGTGTAGTGTCATGCGTTCTTTACTGCTGCTATATACGCCACGGTGCAGGATGTTGTTGTTGTAAAAGACAATGTCGCCAGGCTGTAATTTGACGATAAGCTGGCCTGGCAGTGACTTGGCAAAGGGATCGGCGTCCCGCTCGACGTCTGTCCTGGCGCGCCTGTGAGAGCCGGGCACGACGATCAGGGAATCATCCTCCCACAGGGCAAAGTTGTACTGGGCGTGATACGCGTGCTTCCCAAGCCGCTCCATCTCCTCTTGGGGCATAGCCTCGGCCGGGATGTCATCGCGATGCCACCTCAACTCAAAGTCCTTGTCGGGTCTCACCAGCATGTTGAAGAGCTCCATGATGAGCTGGTCATCCTCGCACTGGAGCAGCTGCCTGACGATTCCGATGACGGCGTCGGAAAAGTACAGCTCGGTGAAGAGCTCGTGACCTGGTAGGTCGGGCTTCATAAGGTGCTGGACGCCCCAGATTCCGTGCTCGCGAGCCTGGCTGGCATCCCACGGGGGGAACTGCTTGCCCACGGTCCGGACGTGCGGCCATCCCCCGCCGCGCGCCAAGTCGGCGGCCTTGGTGCTGGCCTCGCGCAGAGCGTCAAGCTTGTCCTTGTCGACAATGGACTTGATGACGACGAAGCCATCCTGGTTCAGTTGGTCAAGATATGGCGAGGCTGGCATGATGGATTACGCGCCGGCTACCAATGTGGGGTTGGTTTCGTACGTTGGAGGTGACTGTCTGTCTGAGACCCGCGGGCCGATGATATAGGGCAAATCTCTGAGCCTCGCCTCGTGGCTTGCAGGAGGAGCAGCAGCAGCAGTAGCTCGGTCCAAGGGGGAGAGCTATGACCAGAGTGATGAGATCTGGGGTTTATCGGACGATGAGGACCCTTGCTGTGTCCGTGGGTAATTGCAGATGCGGTGTCGACTGTTTCTAAAGCTCGGGGACACGGCTTTTTTTGTGTCATCTTGTGTATGCAAGAACCCATGAGATGTGGGGAAGACTACCACCATATTCGCTCACGACTTGCTGCATCTCACTCGCCTGCCTCGCACACTGTAGAGCAGAGTGGAGGAGATAAGTGCTGTAACGTAGCAGCTGAGGAGACAGTAACCAACGGTTTGAACCGGTACAGCACACACATGTGAACCTCAAAGTGTCGGATCTCACTTCAAGTTGCTAACCTAGATAGTCATCATCATCGTCGCTCATTATCAAAAGTGCCCGAGCTCATGGCCCATTGCTTTGTTTCAACCTCGTCTGATTCTGACTCTTCAACTACACGCCTCGGCAGACCACTTGACAGCAAATCCCCTCACCGTCTTCTGCACCTCCAGGTCACCAGGGTCGTTCTCGAACAGCGGCTTATCCAGGCGGCGCTCGGCAATCTGTTCCACCTCAAAGCCCTGCTCACGCGCGATATCGAAGAAGCGCTCATCAGCCTCCTTCTTCCATGGTCGATACGATGTGAAAAAGACATAGGCAACGCTATCGCGCGATTTCCGCATTGTCTCTCGGATCGTCTTGATTAGAGCACCATGCTCGCTGTGTCGAAAGAGAAGATCTGCCAGGATGAGAATGTCGAACCGTTCTTTGGGTTCTTCTGGCTGGGTTGGGTTGAGGTGAGCGAGTAGAGGAATGGGATCAGCGCCCCAGACGAACCCAGCAGCATCGACGACATCAGCGATGTGTCCCTTGGGCTCGACCGTCTCATCACACTCGTCGATGTTTTTCTGCATGATCTTGATGATGTCCGGGTCCGGGAAATCAGTCACGACGACCTTGCGAGCGCCGAGGATGGCAGCAACCAGACTGGGCAAACCAGCAGCGGCTCCTAGCTCGAGGACCGTCTTGTTACGGACGCGAGTAGGATCATCCTCGAAGAAGTCGGCGATCATCTTTGCACCGTTCCAGAGATGGTGAGCCTCTGTTGGGCTGGCACCGACGAGATGCAGCGTTATGGGCTTGCCGTTCTGCATTGTGAAAACTTGGGACGTAGGCGGCGGCGTAGGGGGGTAGTAATCCTCCGGATCGTCCATGAGGCCGTCGAAGCCATAGTCCACCTCGTTGGCCATTATGATGTGAGGGTTCGACTGTATCCGAGTGATGGATGCCCAAGATGTAAAAGTGTAGTGAGTCTTTTTGGTGGCGTGAGATAAGGTACAGTCGATGTGACTCGAGTGTTGTTAACTTTGCAGCAACCGTTTATCGTCGATGCCTGCGTCTTCCAGTTTGAATCTTGCCCAAGAAACTCTTGTATCATGGACTGAATAGTTTGGTGTTTGATGTCGTGAAAGAGTTTTGACCAGAGTGGGCCGAATGTGCGCTCCCACAGTGCGTGCGCCATGGAAATGAAAAATCCACCTCTGACTCTCTGACTCGAACCGCCGACTCCAGATAATATCAATAATGCCCAACACCCTCATAAACTATGTCATGAACCACCAAGCAACACTGTAAACCCATCTGGAAAATAGACGCCTCTCCAACCCTTTCCCTTCCCTTCTCCCTATCCAAAACGCTGCCGCGCCAACTCCTTCAACATCCCAATCGTCCCCTCCTCCCTCTCCCTCCAAGCCCTCCTCTTCTCCTCAATCTCCTCCCTCTTTGCGCGCTCAATCTCCTCCCTGCGAATCTCCCTCTCCGTCTTGCGCCGCTGCTCACGCTGCTTAGCCTGCTTGTACTCCTCGAGCGAGTCTCCTCCCCCCATGAGCTCGCGCTCGCTGCTCGCCTCCATGGCACCGGGGCTCTTGTCGCGGAACGAGCGCATCTTTTCGGACACGGCTGCGCGCTTCTCGAGCATTCGTTCGCGTGTTCCTGGCTCTGCGCGGGGGACGAGCTCGTCGAGACGTTCGCGCTGGGTTGCTCTGTCGGCTTTGCGTGCCGCGTGGAGGTCTGAGATGGAGGCTTGTTTGTCTTCCGCTGCGAGTTCAGCGCGGAGGGAGAGATCCTGAAGCGTGGGTATTCCTGGCCCAGAGCGGCGTGTGTTATCCGATGTTGGGAGGGTAGGACCATAGTCGTCGTCGTCTTCTTCGCTGTTATCGTCCCTCCCCTTGGCATTATCATCCACTCTCTCCTCTCTTTCATCTCTTCTCGCAGTCGAGTGACTAGCGCGAGGAGCACCTTGATCCTGGGCAGTAATCTGAGCAAACATCTCAGGATCATACCATCCTTCAGCCAACTCCCCCCGATTCCACTTCCCAATGAAACTCTTCCACCTCCCCCTGATCTCGCGCTCATCCATCTCCTCAATATCCTTCTGCTTCTGGAGATCAAGGTAGTCGGCAAACAGCGGCCTAAACGCGTTCAGATCCCCCTTGGATAGCTGTCTCGCGTCAAACGGGAGCGTCACCGGTGCGCGGCTCGCATGTTCCCGGTGTCGATGTCTGGACGATGAGTGGTGGCCACTTGGCTCTGTCGAGTGTCTTTCATGGCGCGAGGATGATGTCTTTGCGCGCTTATGAGCTGGTGACCGAGAGCGTGAGCGCGAGTCTCGGCTTCTTCTGTCTCGTCTGTCGCGAGAGCCATGTTCGCGACGCGGCGACCTTTCGCGGATTCGACTCCGATGATCCATCCCAAGTCTTTTCCAGAATAACGGCGATGTTTCTTTTTATCTTTTTCACGCCCAAAGGTTGATGATACCTAGATATAGGGCTCTCAGGAACAATGCGTCAAGAGTACAGAGTGTTGACAAAGAGGCTCTAAGTTCGTCAAGCACGAGATTTTGGAGTCTAGAACATGGCGGACACAGTGCGCCCCGCTTTTCTTCAATTTGGCTTCATTCTTGCCATCAGAACTCAAGGCGCAAACACCATTAACAGGCTTAAGGGGGAGTTTCTGAATATTTTCTCTATCGGCTTCTGCTACCAAGTTCTGTCTCTTCTGTCCTTTTTGGTCGCTCAGCGACTTTCTTTCTTCATCATCCCAAAAGTCTAGGGGTATCATTGAATCACGGGCTTCCAAACCAAGTTCCTTTAACATCCGTCTTCGTTCTCCTTCATCTTTCTGCAACTTTCCCTTTCTCCCAGCAAATACGGGTCGTACATCCTTTATTTCGATGGCCCAGGTCAAGATAGGCGCCGCTCCTATGCTTCAGCAACCCCTTCTGCCATCACCTCGGAATTGTTGTGTATCACGCAGCCGAGGCATTGGCAATCATCTCCGCAAGGGCAGCTCGCTTGCTCGCCGGCACACGAGTCTCCAAAAGGATAACTGACGAAAAAGAAGTCGTTGGCCGATAGAGCCTGTTCCTCGCTGACCCCTGAAGCCGCCTCGGATGGTGTTTGTGGTGCAACTGGCGATACCGTCCCTTCAGCAGGTCCGACAGCAGGCACCGTTGTTGCACCCGAGCCGTTCGTTGTCGGGATCTCACCGTTTCCGTGTCCGTTGACGGGAGTATAACCGGCGCTGCTGTGGGTCTGTGTCCGTTGAGGATCGTCCATCATGCTCTGCCACGCAGATCGAACGTAATTCTGTGTTGCTTCGTTGTATGGGTGGGCCGCACATCCGATACACTGGCAAGATGCGCCACAGCTGCACTGGTGAGAAGTGCCTGCGGCAGAATGAGGGGTTCCTGGAGGAGGATATGGCATGCCGTAGGGAGACGGCATACCACCTTGGCCCGCAAACGTCATCGATGCCATGACCTGCCTCCACTGCTCGGGTTGCAAAGGCTGCAAGTAGGAGCCGTACTGTGGCGGGTAGGTGAAAACAGTGGGTTGAGGATAGTAAGCATACATGCCGTTCGGCATCATAATAGGTGTCGGTGGGAAAGGCGACATGACCATGCCATTCGGTGTTGAAACGTCGGATGTAGGCACCGTGTCTGGCTTTTGGTCCGGTTTAGGAGAGTTGATGCTGGACGAACAACAACTCTTGGGTTTCGTCTTGGTCGGAGGACTCGGCATCGAAGGAAGTGTGCTAGGGACAGCGGAATCATCATCAGCGTTACCACCGCCGCAACACGAACCGCCCTTCACCACAGGTTCCCTCGTTTCTTCCGGTATATGTGGAGTCGCCATGGAAACGCCATGGGAAGCCATGACCGGTTTAGAGCCATCCGAGCTCATCATGGGAGGCAGCATATGTGGTTGAAACATGGGGTACATGACCGGCCCAAATGGGCTTTCCGCCGGTGTCATACCCATGGCTCCATAGGGAGACATCTCGGGAAGGGGTGCAGCGGGTTTCTGAGATATGCCGTCATAGGCAGGCATGATATTAAGCATGCCGGGGTCCATCCTCTGGAGCGCAGCTGGGTCAACAGATGGTCGCCGACTAGATGCACTGCTCCTGGAGCTCGTCTTCTGCACTCGGTAACTTGAACTTGTCGTCTTGCTGGAAGGACTTTGAGATGTCGATTCGCTTGCCGAGTCGCCATTCTCGGGCTTCCCAGTGGGCGATTCGGCGCTTTTGTTGGAACCACAGCGACATGGCTGCTTCTTGGGGATGGCGGCTGTGACTCTGCCACAGGAGCATGGACGAGATGCCGGGTGAGGACAAGTACTCAGGGGACGGCCTGGTTTGCGAACAGGCACCATCAATCGCTCGTTCGCGTGAGTACATTTGGTCGAGCGATGGCCGCGGATGCATGGCTCGCTAGAACAGTCAGTCAATTGCGCAAAGGTGCATTTACATGAACAGGGGTCAATCGAGGTATGTCGGGCAGGGCGAAGAGACTTACCAGGCCATCTTCTGGCCGTTGATGAGAGGCATAGCGAGTTTGTGGTCGGGAGACCTGTGCAACGGGTGACGAGAGGTGGAGCAAGACGGTCGGCTTCGACTAGGTACTGTGACGGACTCAGAGCCTCACCTCGAGGCCTAGGAGAAGAGCGCAAATCCCGCCCGAATCGACATCAAGGCAGAGGAACACAAGGCGAGGAGTCGTCGGTATCTCGGCGGTACTCGAGGGCGAGATGAGGGGGTTCGGGAGCTTGCGCGACGAGCGAGGGACAGCGGGAGACCGGGACTCGAGTTCTGTGGCGGATGGGTGAGTCGTAGCGGCAGGAGCGACGAGGGTCGGAAATCGAAGCAACGAGGCAATTCAAGAAGCGCAAGCGCAGAGAATTGAAAGAGGACCAAGTAAACAATAGAACAGGGGTGTCTAAAGGAGAAATCTCTCTCTTTTTTTGCCTCCCTTTCAAGATGTCGGTTGTTGGATGGAAGCGAAGCGGAAAGGTAAAGCAAGCAGGTGCGATCCAGGCCCACGACCAGTCTCCAGGGACCCCAAGTCAGCAGCAGCAGCCAGGCGCCGTCTGCGCGCGCGCCGTGAACGAGAGGGAAGGAACGACAAGCACAAGCCTCCAAAAAGTCCAAAGGGTTGCTAGCACAAGCAGGCATCCGCCCCCCACTATGCGGGGGGTCTACAGCAGCAAGCGCGCCCCAAGACTCGCCTAAACCCAGCTAGGCACTTGGCTCGCACATTCACCATCGTTCACACACACACCTTCAGCGGCAGGGCCCTTAAAGTGTCTGCTTCTCATGACCCGGGGAAAAAGGTATCAGGGCCGAGTCATGATGGTCAAGGTGTTATTGTCGTCGTACGATGGAAACACTCTTTTCTTGACTCGGGGAATATTTTACCACACGGCTGAGGGCTGCCGACAACCTGGGGAGAATCCAGGCCTTGGAGATGGCTAAACCATGGGGTGTCACAGCGCTCAGCTCGGCCCCGTCTCCCTCCAAGAAGGTGGCCCAACCTCCGGCCGCCGAGACGGAGGCGGTACGGCCGGGGCATCGGGATCGACCTCGGCCGGCCGGCGTGCTCTATCTCACATCATCCTCAAGCACGGGCAGCGACACAGACAAGAAAGGGGTCCAAAATCTCACATTATCCTCACATAAAGATCAAAGCCATCCTTTTCTCGTCCCTTTGAGCTGTCGGTCTTGTTTTCTCGCTTTCTCTCTCTCCACTCATGGAACCGCACTTTCTCCAGCACAACCCGGCCGAGTGAGCAAGTTTCCATTGGCCGAACGCCGTGGGCGCATCAACACCACCACCCGCCATCCAAGGATGGATCCGAAGCAGCTCCTCCTCCACTACTAGAGCCTCCCCAAACAGTACCGATTTCTCCTCTTGCTTTCTTTATCCATGTCTTTTCGACGTTATTCGCCTCCATGGTTGGCTTGGCTAATTACACGAGTAGATATTTCCGTGCCCAACTACAAAGAGAGGCACGGTCCGCGGGCTAGTTCAGGCTTGATCCAGTACGATGAGATCCACTAGATCCGTGGGACGCCTTGTCCGTCCCGTGCAACTTCGCCAACTCTGGATGGACCAACGGCGTTGCTTCCTCTTGTAAGCACGGCTCTCCGAGATGTGTAATGCTTGACTGTGCTCTCCCATCTCCGTCACATTTCCTCTTCCATCCCATCCATGTCAGTCTCCCGTAAGATCCCAGCGCATGTCATCTCATCCCATCCCATCCATGCCTCCGGCTACTTTGACTGCCGATCTACTACATATCACATGTCTCAATAGACCTGCTTTCTCCGGCACAGCCTCGTCTCTTAGGTAGGTAGCAACGAACACAGAATACGTCTTTGCTCGAGGAACAATAAAGCATTGTCCCGTGAAGAAGCCCTGTCGAGATATCCGTGGAGACACCACGCCATGTGCACTAAGCTTTATCAGCCACTGGGAACTATTACCTCGTTGGGTCATAGAACCCGCCACATGGAACCATGTCTATCGTGCTATCCACTGTTGCAGCTGGGCACAGTTACTGCAACGTAACAAACGTATCGTGAACAGCTACTGTAAGTCCTTTCAACAAGCTTACACGAGCTACCTAAGCTTCCCAAACTGGTGCGATAAGAGAGAATATCTTCCGTTCAAATCCATTATCTTCTTGTCAACATTTTCCCCAGTTGTTTCTGACGTCAAGCGCCAACCAAGTTAAGCTCTAAACCACTCGGCCTCGCTAAGGGCTCACAGACCGTTGAATTGCGCCATCTCACGATGGCATCAACCAGCCCAGAGATTATTGGTCAATAGACGAACGCCGTCTTAGGGTCGAAATTCTATGGTAGGATAGACGGGACTTTTATTTTTCCCATATGAAAAACCGGTATTTTGTCTTTTAGAGGAGGCCATCTTCATCTTCCTCTTTGCTCGAGTCGAGTCTTCAAGGGCAATACAAGGACAGGTGATATGACAAGTTTTGGCCAAACAACAAGATTCAAGCGAAAAGAGAAATAACAAAAAAGAGAGATTCATAGGTGGGCGGTTTGTAGGTGGCGCCTGGTCAGAGGTGGATTTAGGTATGCGGAAAGAAGAGAGAGTTTAAAGGAGCGGAATTGAAGAAGAGACCACTTAACCAGGACGCACGCTGAGCACCAGCATGTGCTTTTAGGGTGGGAGGGAAAGGAGTAACCTTGTTTATAAACCTCTCAGCCAGGCCGATAGAACTGAAAAAAAAGAGTGGTTTTTAGGTTTGCGGAAGACGTCTCTTTCGCTCTGCTTTCGGTTTCAACCCGCGTCGCATCACATTCCCGGAAACACGTGATATCTAGCCGGGGTTTCCCTGATTGGTCGGTAGCTCAACAGCCGCCCCACATCCTTGCGTAGGTAGG